AGTTATGTATGTTAGAGCTACAGTATTGATGGACTGCTAAAACTCTATATAGAGTGACAGAAGAATAAAAAACAATTGTGTCATTAAAGATGAGGCCAAGGCATGAAGTCTAATGTAATTTTAATACCCTAATATATATTTCTTGCAATTCTAACTCAGGAGGAAATTGATTTTGCAGTAAACAACCACATGACATTGCCATGTCATGAGTTTTTGGTTATATTTAGTTTTTCTAAAACATTTCAATTTTTTTGCATGATCCTCAATTATTTACAACATTGTAGAACATGTTAGTTGTTACCAGCACAGTATGATAGATTTAAATAATCATATAACCTTGTTAAAAGCAAATCCTTTCCAAATAAAAAAATAATTGGTGTATTACGGTATGGGATTTCTTCATATCATGACTGTGTTTAAATTTGGCATTTTAACTAAACTAATCAGGTGTAAATATCATAATCCTCCACCAACCTTTTGACCAGAGTTATTACATACATCAATTAGACAGGGCCATTTTATTCCATTCCCTCTGTCCTCCCTTTGTACCAGGGCATGGAACTAACTTTGTTGACTTCTATAAACGTATGAACCACCTCAGGCCTTGAGATCCTTAGGGAGAGGTCTCCTGGTGGTCCCTAGAGTCACCAATAAACATAGTGAGGCTGCGTTTCAGTTTCATGCAGCCAAGGTCTGGAACAGCCCCAGAGAGGACGTAAAAAAAGCTTATTTAATGTTGCCTATGGCGACTGACTGTATTTTAACTATTTTTAATATATAATATGTATTTTTTATATATATATTGTATTGCCGGTGTTGCTGTAAGGCACATTGAGTTTCCTTGTGCATGAAATGTGTTGTATAAATAAATTTGCCTTGCCTTGCCTATTGGCAGAGAATTGCCATCCCACCTTTCCCCAGATCTTGCTTAACCCTAGTAAAAATCTTGTATTCATAGCGATGAAGTAATGAATCTAATTCTAGCGAAAAAATGTCATATGACGATGTTAAAAAATAAGAGATAGAGAATCCCTTTATTGTCCCACAATGGGGAAATTCTGGTGTTACAGCAGCAAAATGATTATAGAAATAATGGTTGCACAAATGTGGACCTTAAAAAAAAAAAAAAAAAAAAAACTAACATAATAGCAAAGAGTTAAAAAAATAAACAAATAAAATGTGCTTTAAAGTGTTTTTACAATATAAATACTATGCACCTGGACAATAATGTTCTGTGGACATTTTTTATATTTTTAAGAAGCATTTAACTCTGGTTTTGTACCATATTCTTGCAACATGCCCATTAATGATAAATGTTATATTTATTATCTCTATATTGCTGCAATGCATTTAAAATAGTTTGCAGAATCCACAACAAAGAATATCAAAAAGATGTTTGCAAGAAAATTATTTTCTTTTTTTTTGTTTTCAATCCTTTAGAAACCAGTGGGTATTATCCCTTGTAGAGGCCAGTCCTTTTTTTTTTACTGGGATTCAGTTTTACAGTTGTCCTTCTCTTCAGAATTCAAAGGAACAGGTAAAAACTTTGACCTTTCTGTTATGATTCCTTATTCCCAAACAGGAAATTGAATCCATCATGTAAAACCTTAATCTCATTTTTAGAAGAGAAACACCGCATGTGCTTTTTTTTCCCTCTGCAGCAAAGCCACCGATCAATAGTTCTGTTCTTGTTCTTTACTGTAGGATGAACCTTCCACCTTCTTAGAAACTTCCTCAAACATCCAGAAAAGTAAACCTCCATAAAAAAAGGTAACACAGGCTTTTTATAATGTGGTATTTTTTGGGAATTTCTTATTTTTATTTTAATAATACGACTTTCAATGAGGCGATTACACACTTATTGATATGAATGTTATTTTCCTGGGCATCAGTGATTTAAATAAACAAGACTGGGGCATGGAAGTGTGAAAAGTTCTTTACAGATTCACTGGGGATCAATGTGTTTCAATTTGTATTTGGTTAAAAATCTATATGTAGACAAAACATGTCTCTTTTTCAGAGAATTATTAGTGCTTATTTAAATTGAATGGTTTCTTGCTTAAGGCCTGGCCTTAAAATATAGCCCCGTCTCTCTTCAGGATCTCTGTCAAAACCATTTTTTATCATGAATTTGGGGGAGGAAAGTTAACCTATGTGGCCAAATGCTTATTCATTATTTCCTTTGCTAGACTGGAACTTGGAAATGGATTGCAATTTCTTTTGTTCCAAGGAAGAAGGATAATATTTTCAAGACAAAAAAAAATCCTAATCATGTCTAAGGAATGTTCTCCCTCAGAAAAAAAGCTATTTCAAATCAAGAACACAATTAGGAAGTGATATCCTAAGCTTGTCTTTTAGTGCAAAATAGATTTGAATGTAGAAGCTTTGGGGAAGCAAATCTTCAAAATAAAAAAAGATGAAGAATGGAGTAATGAAGAGAACAATTGTCCAATAGAAGCGTGACAGAGAGGACTTTTTTTTCAGCATCCGTTTGAATTTTGATTTTATTTCTTAATATTTCTTGAATGCACAACAAGCTGTATCATTTTAAGCCTAAGGAACAAGGTAGAAGTTTAAAGGAGTTTTTTTTTTAGCTCCGAAACTCTGGAGCTATCTCCCATCCATATTAGAAAGACTCTTTCACCTGACCTGACCTGATTTAAAATCTTTTTAAAAACTCATCTATTTTTACAGAATTTTAATAATTTGTATTTGTTTGTGCTTCATTGCTCTGTGTATTTTATATTTATTTTTCTTACTGATGTTTTTTTTCTATTTGTATATATACATATATATATATATACATATATATATATATATTAATACATACATAGTCGAAAAACATTGGGCACTCAAAGCGAGCCGTCAGCTCCAGAGCTGGTCCCTGAACCCCAGCGGACGGGGGCAGGGAGCCAGCGGACCCTACCCAGTGACGGTAACCTGGACACCGGCGGCCCCCGGCATCCCTCCTCTGACTGAGGACGGGCGGCTCATGGCTCTCTGGTGAGGTCTGGTCCAGTCAGCGGCCCAGCAGCAGAAACCCAAATCTGGTCACCCTAGATATGCCAGCATTGCCATCAACAGCCTAGTGACAGAATCATACTTACAGCTTGCGGTTGTGATGGCCTTACGGTCGGATCAGTCCCTGGTTTCAGTAAAAATAGTTTAGCAAATCCTGCTTTGAACTGTCCAAGATTTTGAAAGCTGTCTTTGGTAAAATGCTTAGAGCAAATGAACAGCTAAGCATCAAACTTTGCAATAATCTGTGCTTGTCGAGTCTTCGGATTCTTGGGAAGACTGAAAAATGTCCCCTTTCTCCATGCAGCCTGGAACACTGCATTTACGCCCGTGGTTCTGGCTTATTTTCAATAGAGAAACTGCCTGCTTTGTACAGTAATTCTTGTAGGAGTAAACCCAACTGTTGTCTAAATAGCTAAACTGGTGTCTTACATCTACCTCTATTCATGTTCTTGGGCTGTGAACCAGTGGGCTGGTCTGTACATCAATTTCAGGGCCAAGTACTGGCCAGAACCAAATAAGGCACCATCCCTGAGTTTATGTCAACTCGGGGCTTCGTTTGAATTCGCCCGTTTTATAGTGGAAGTTTAGAATTGTGAGATTTGCATAGAAAGGAGGTGTCAATGGGGTTTGAACTTCTCTGTACGTCCATTTAACCCACTATACTATCGTTATTCATCTATGACAATGTAAATTTGGTTTTGCATTCTATGACCCCTTCAATAAAATTCCTTAATTTCAATTTTTGTCTGTCTTCCAATGTGGTGCCTTAACAATTTTAACATGCAGTAGTCGTGCAACCTTTTCTAATGAAACCTGCTTTTAATCATAGTGTTTGATAATCATAGAGCCATTTTTAAACTTCCATTTTTTTCCCAAAATTTTAGTTAAGAAAGTTTGCTGTTAGTTACATTTTCTTGGACGAAATGGACATTCTTGAAATCTTGTTTCAAAGCTCATTGTTGTACGGACTCAGGATTATAAAGAGTTATTGATTATGTGGTTTTGCCATGCAATTCTGATTACCAAAATGTCTTGGTCTAGGTGGGTCTTACTGCTGTATTTAAAACTACAGATCACAACATTTTAATATCACTTCTGAATCATTAAGGGGCATTCTCTTGAACATAATTGACCTTTGTTCTTCTAGGATGTATTCCTGGCTGATCATGGAGATTGTGACATTTATATTTCAAAAGCTTAGTGGGCTTTTCTGATTCTGCTTTTGTTGCCGATAGATGGAGGATGAGGAGCCCAGTATCAAAGACCGCTGTTGTCCACAGCTACCACAGAGTGACACTTATGTTGACAAAGCAGGGCTAAAACCTCAAGCCACATTTAAGTTAGAGGCCACCAAACATATTCACCACTAAATATAGAACAACAGATTTTTTTGATTTCTTATTTATTTTTACCCTCAAATCCTATATTTTAAATCAGACATTTCCAAATGGCTCTTGCATTTTCCAGTCCAAATTAAATGTACGCTGCACAGATTAATAGCTCACTCACATTTTCTTACATCAGTTTTAGATACAGAGAAAGCTTTCAACAGTAATTTTTTAAAAAAGATTTTCCAAACATGGTAGGAAAACCACAAGCCATTGTTAATGCAGGATCTCAATTCTGGAATCATACATCTCTGCACTGCTGTATTACAATAAACAGTGATATTGTATTTGACGGAACAAGGGTGAGTTCTGGTCTGATGTGTGACTCCCACCCTGAGACAGCAACCGTCACAGTAAAAACTTTTTTCTAACAAACAGTCTCCTTTAACATATAATTAATTGTATGGTTTGGTAAATATCTCAAGTGTCAATTTGGAATGTCCCATTTTGTTAAAACATGATCAAATATCTACATTCAAATTGCATTGTTACCCCCCCACACTCCAAAATGGCATTGAGATGTTCTGCTTCAAAATGAGGTTACATTGTTTCCTGTTTGTAACTGAAAAGCAGCCAGTTTCAAGACGCCGTCAAAGCGGAGAGGGAGCAGAGGCGGGGTAAAAATAGACAACACTGTAGCACACCTCACTGAGGGAACGCAGTGATGCCCTGTAGCCTGAGAAAAATTGTGTCAAACAGACACCCAGCTTAGTTTAGGGCAACTGGAGAAATGGATATCGACGGTAAGAACATTTGTTTTAAATGTGGATAGTAGAAAGAAAAATTAATATCTTATTATTATATATGAAAAATACCAACGTTAAACACTCAGCGTGAGTCTCGCACAGGCCGGATCACAAATGGAGCAAATGTAGAGAAGCTTTGGGACACAAGGTCACAGAAAAGACTAAAGGTTTAAAAATAAATAAATAAAATAGCTATAGAAAGTTATTTACTTAAGAAAACACAGATTTGCCATAAAAATTTGACCTTTAATGTAGGAATGCTTATTAAAAAAGTTTTTTTGTGCCATTAAAATAAGGAAATAGACTAGAGAGAGGAAAACTTCAATAAATTCTAAACATTCTTGTCAAAAGAAACATTTTTGTAGTGTGTTTTCAGAAATATTGTACGGTATTCTTTTAGCTTTCCTGCTTGCTGTTTAGCACCGGATTAAAAGGAAATTCTGAAGTTTTAATTTTGAGAGTTTAAAAAGAATTAAAGGAAAAGGAAGAGTTCTTGATTTTGTATGTTGAGAGAATTTTATGCAATTTTTTTTGAGGTTATGTTATGATTTCTGTTTTCTAGGTGCATATGTAGCCCTGGTCATTGTATGTCTGGCCTTGTTAATCTCCGTGTGCCTCAACATCACCTTCTGTATGAGACAGAAAGACACTTGGTGCAAAGGTAAATTAAAGGTTGTCTTTTTCATAAAATGTTTGTGTTTTTATTTCCATTTCCAATGTTTTATAAATTGTTTCCTTTTTTATTTACGCAGAACCACATAACTGCTGCCATCTTCACAGTTCAGAAGAAGCGTATGTTGTTGCTTATTTTGTTTGGAATAACATTTACCAGTGAAAAATGCAATTAGATTTCAAACCTGTTCATTTTATTTTTTGCCGACTATCAAACTGTTGGTCAAATTTTAGAATCAAAACATAGTCTAAAATTGAGCTTTTTCATTTCTGCAGGCTGTTTAATGATGAAGGACAATATTTGAGTGGCATCAGTCATCGAGAGCAGCAGGAAAATCCCCACAATGAAGAAGAGCGACAGGAAAATCCAATCTATGGCAACATCAGCACAGAAAGACGTGGTAAGCTCTCCATTCTCATTACTTTTAAAAAGAAAGGGGAAATCTTTGACTGTGTTTATTGATGTATGACCCAATCTAAGGAAAAAATGGTTTGGCATAAGCTGTTTAAAGATGCTTTTTTTAAAGAAATTTTATTTTTCAAAGTTTCAGTGTAGGAGTGGTAAAGAGCATTTCAAAAAGAGAAAAAAGTTTTACCTTGAAAAGTTTTCCTCTTCTTATTTGCATGTCAAGTGACTAGGCTGTAAAGTTATAGTGTATATAGACTTTCAAATAATATGGCAGGAGGCTCAGACTGGTATCTGAATTATGGAATCTAAATGATAGTCTATGTTTTTACTTTTTTAACTAGTATTCCATCTACTAATTAGTTTTCATAATATCTAGTTCAATTTATAAAATACAACAGGTTAGACCTTAAGTGGATAATTATGCGTTAAACGGCGAGTTCTTTAAAGCAAATTTTGAAATTCAAACTTATCAACTAGAGTTGTCTATAGACAATGGAAAAAAACAACTATTTTTTTCTTTTCGTACAGTATGGTATGTTCTTTAAAACTATTTCCGTTTATCAAACTTTTAAAGCTGTTTTTGAAAGCAAATAACTAATTAGACACAGAGGAGCTCACCTACAGTGCTGTTCATGCATGAACTACTCCCACTTTCAAATATGTGCTTTCCTAACTGTCTTTATAGTAGAGCTTCATAAGTAGACAGCAAAATAATTGAACAATGTGTGTAATGGCAGGTTCTGCAGATGCTTGCTATGAGACGATGTCCATGCCGCGCAGTAGAGATTGCCTAAAGGTAAGTGCAGTTTGAAAATTGTTTTCAAAACGGATTATCTTTGTTCTGAGTTATTAAAAATTAAAAAGGATAATCACAGTTTCAGAGATCAAGGCAAAGCTGCTGCAAAGAGTCAGAAATAAGCAGCCATAAGGCATTTCTCCAACAGCTTCATTGTATCTTAATCTGCATAATGAGCATTTCTGATGCTGCCTGGGCTTTTGTTAATTCAATTGAGCCGTATTAGCACCTGGCTGACATTGCGTCGACTTAATCTAGTGCATTCATGTTGCTTTTTGATGCCGACGATTTGTCATGAAGACACTGACTTTTACTTGACCTACCAGAGCTTCTTGTGCTCCGAGGAGCCTCACGGTGACATGAGGATGTGTACCTCTGTAGTTTCTTCTCCAGTGGCATTCTGCTGCGAAGCAGTAAATATTTTATTCTGTGGTCTTTCTACTAACAATTTAATAGGACATTAAAATGCTGGTTCAGCTCACCTTAGTTTTGTTTTTCTTTAACCCTGAAAAAGAAATCATGATTGCTTTTGTCTTGCAGTCACAGGAAAAGAGAATAATACCTTAGAAATAAAAAACAGAAAATATATTTTCAATGTGAAAGGTTACCTTTTTATATTCCCTTAGTTCTGTGTTTTACTTTATTTCTGATGAAGACTTAATGTAATGTTATTGGACAACATTTGTGTCATATCGATAAATTGTAATTAGGGATTTACATTTACTCGCACCTTAAAAAGTGAACCAAAAATACAAATTCTGCCACAGAAGAATATCTTACCTTTTCTCCATAAAGCCAGCATGACTTTAAGTACATTTAGTATGTGGTAATGATACATTTATTATTTTGTTCTTGCATTAAACATTCGTTCAATTATCAGGACCCATAACCATTTCCAAAAGATAAACTATTAAATTTAAATTATATATATGTGACTAAATATTCATATAGATAAGGATGATTTTTATGCATCAACATTCAAAATTTGAAGATTAAAGAAAATATGCCATTTGGCGAGGTATCTGTGTGTTGCACTTTATAAATCACTAATGTTTAATACAAAGCTTACTGTGAGTGATCAGACCATTTTTTACAATTGAAATGTGAGATTTAGAAAAATTCAAAATTCTATTTAGTTAAGAGAAGATTTGTGTACATTTAAATTTCTTAAACAAATTTACAGAAATTCCTAATTATTGCGCTGATTGTGCGAAAATGCTTAATACGTAATTTGACACCAGATTCTCATATGGTTTGTCCAGAAAAGTCCTTTAAAGCTCTGTGCTTATCGTAATTTTTAGAGGTTAGCAGCTATAATGAAACAGTGGAGTTGCTGGTTAGGGCTTTAAAAGATCCAAGGTGAAAAGATGTAAAACAGGGCTCTATTACACATCTTTAAAAAATATGTTGGAGGAAATTAGCTGCAAGTCCCTGTTAGCACATTCTACCTGCTGTAAAGCATGGTGATGGCAGTGTCTTGCTTTGGGAAGGTTTTTATTGCAGGAACTGCGAAGCTGGTCGGAACCCATGGACACGCTGGTACCGGTCTTATTATGGTTGTTTTTTTGTGCACGAAAAAAAAAAATAGATGTCTCATTGCATTTTATATAAGTTGAAAAATTTATGCAAAAATAGAAATGCGTGACATGTTAAGACCATGCTGACAGATTTGGTTTCAGAACGGAAGGCAGCTAGCATGTTTGTACACATTGTGGTCATTGAAACTGCAAACCAGTGAACACAGACAAGAACAAAGTGTTCTAAAAATAAGCAAGATGGGCTTTATAAAAATAGATACGTGTCTGAGAAAAAAAAAAAGATGTATAAAATATCGCACGCTAACATATTTCCTTTTAAAAACAGCCTGTAGAGCCTGACCTGAATTATGCTTCGCTGGATCTGAAGATTGCGAAAAAACGCAAGAAACACCGTCACCTGCAAGGCCAGGGACAAGGACGCAACAAGCAGCAGGATCTGCAGGCAGACCACCTCACTCCTCCTTCCAACGCCTTCTTGGAGATAGATGCGGAAGTGGATGCTCACCTGCCCTGCAGAGACACTGCCGTCATGGTCTCTCACAGCAGCATCTATCTCAACAGTCAACAGATAGCACAGGAAGCCGAGGAGATGCAAAGAGAGAGGGGCATCAACATGGAGGAGAAGGAAATTATAGGATGGGATGGCTTACAAGAGAGCGTGAGAGGAGGAAGAAGAAATTGGGCGGAAAATCCTGAAAACTGGGAAAGAAAAGAAAAGCATAATGGAAGTGATGGGAAGATATGTATACAGATTTCAGAGGAAGAAACTATTCTGAGTTGTTCAGATCAAGTCACTGACAGCTTTAGTCATGATAGCGGCTAACTACATATTTATATATAAGTCAATTACTTGTCTCAAATGTTTTACAATGTTTTCTAGAAAACTATTTTATATTTTCAGCACAAAAACAGCAACTATCATCTTCAATTTTCTCTATGCCTGGCAGAGTTAAGCAATTTCCTTCTTGACGCAGACAATCTACCTCTTATAGTCATGTTGAGCAATAGAAACATAACTGTGCTTCTCTGTGAAATAAACTACTTAAAAAGAAAGAGGGGAAATGTTGTGTGACATTTAGAGGTCAAGAGCCATGTGGAAATTGTAGGTTATTGTGAAACACAGGAAAACAAAGGTAATCATCAGAGGACACGGAGGAACTTTACTCCTTTGATGTCTCTTATTCGTCCATCAGCAGACATTTCATAAAAAAAAGTGTGAAAGCAGCTTTTTTTTTTTCCATGATGTGGGTAAGAGCTTTTTACATAATTGCACTTGCCTTTGCACATGTGAACCAGCTTTTAAATAATTTTATGGATTAAGCCAACAGCACAGAAACTAGAAGCAAATGAATAACGATAATGATAAATAGTGGTTTAATTTTCCATCTTCCCAACAGGGAAAACTGTCAATCTGTTTAAACTGTAAATGTCACCCACAGAGGATTTTCTATGTGAAAGCAATGATAAAGGTCATTGTGTTCACAGTCTATGAGCTAATGCCCCATCGGTTTAAATGAATGTCTTTCTCTCTGTAATCCCCAATCTGCAGAGTAATTTACCGACCATCTGTCTGCTGACAGGACGGCGCTCTGAGTTGAACTCAGCATTTACAGGCCTTCAAGCACACTATTTGTTGACAGTCTCTTAAAGGCGGACAAGGATCTATTTCCCACTTAATGTGTTATAAGTGACCCAAAAGCATTTTTGGATAGAGATACAGAAAGGCTACAAAGATATCCTCCAAAATAAAAGTCCTTTTTTATTTATTGTTTGGATTTTTTATTATTTTATTTCTTTCATATACCCAAATACAATTAATAAAATATGGTATCATTAAACACCACAAATGAAAAGTAGCAGGAGGAAGATAAACTTGTAACCCCTGCCCCTTGTCAAATCATTCACATATGTAGAAGAAAGATAATAAACATACAAATATAAATCATCAATTTCTTTCATCTCCCATCGCATAAATGTTAATTTTAGCTTCTTTTTTTATTTTCTTAAAATGAAATATACTAGTACAACTCTCCAGGGTGACATTTTGATAATTCCATAATTTATAACCAGCAACAGAAATACACATTGTTTTTAACATTAACCGGCCAAACCTGGGTTTAAAATCCAATCCATCTGCTGTTGTCCTCTTCTAATTCAAATAGGTTCTGTAACTTTTCTGGTAAATATTTATTTATTGTTTTATGCCTTATTATTTAAAGTCTGAGGCTCAGCTCCAACTGTTTCATAACAGTCACAGAAGGGAAAAAAATAATTCAGTTGCCAAAGTTTTGTTGCTTTACAACTGCCATTTTCACTAAATCTATCTGAAGTTTAATTTTATGTGACATACCAAAACAATTTAGAGCCTCGTTGTGAATTGGTAGCAAAAGTATTCACAGTTTACAAAATGTTGAACAATAAAACAATACAAACAATAAAAGATTTACCCAGCATTTTTATTCAAACCTCTTGAGTAAAATCCAGCGCAACCATCTGCCTTCAAAACCAAGCAGGGATGGCAGCTAAAAGATAAAATGAAATGAGAGACAATAAAAAGGAGTGATTGGTTTTACCAGATGTTCGCAGTTGATTGTTTTATTGTCATTTTGTGTCAAATTCAGTTTTATTATGAATCCATCTGTTATGTGTAAAGAGCTTTGAGAGAATTCATAGACTTCACAACGTCATTAAGACAAAGAACCACAATATAGTGCCAAACATGGCTCACCGATCCAAATATTTGAAATCAGATGTTCCAGTAACTTCCCAGGCCATGGGTATAAAAAAATCCAGCCCCTTGAAATGCTGACTGCTTTTATATCACTCTTAAAAGCTCAGTAAATTCCAGTGTGGTGACAGGATGTTACAGACGTTCAGTTTCCTTCACAGTTACCTGTTAGTGACAATATAACATAATACAAAATGTGAAAGATGCTTGAAATTACAGAAACTCCATCAACAAGTTATAGGCCGTGTAAGCTGCGGCGCATGCTACTGCATGAGGTTGGCAACTTTCTGCCTGGTCAATCACTACAGATCTCCAAATTTCATCTAGCCCTCAGATTGTTCAAGAACAGTATAGAGGGGGTTTCAATGAATGGGTTTCCATAGCAAAGAGGCTGTATCCAAGTCTTACATCACCAAGTACAATTCAGAGCATCAGATGGATTAAAGCACTTGTCACTGGACTTTAGAGCAGTAGACTTAGACAACTTTTATTGTCATTTTGTATACGCAGAGTGTATACAAAACGAGGAGCAAACAGGACAGGAAAAGCCTGAGAGGAAAAGCAAAGATTATAATCAAATTATCACTTGGAGAAACTGCCAAAAGCCCAATGGTTCATATGGAGCTGCTGCAGAGATCCATATCTCAGGTTAGAGAATCTGTTGTTAAGACTTGAATATCCATGAGCTAAAAAACGGAACTTCCGGACATAAAGTCCATAAATACATTTTTAAAGTAAGATGTAAGAATTTTCTTTTTAAATTTACCACAACACAGGATGAAAACACACCACGGCCAGACAGATACAGTATGTAACCTTTTGGCCTACATACTGTTTGTAGCGTTATCTAACATTGCACATCATTCTACAATAAATACACCATGTCATGGGGAGACATGGTGGTTGCATCATGCTGTATGATGGTAGGACCTCATGGAAAGATAGGTAATGTAAAACATTTGTGACATGCTAACTTAAACATACAGGTAAAATCCAAATGGAATAGTTTAGATCAAACCTTTTTTTTTTTTTTTTTTTACCTCTTAGAAAGGTCTGGTCAAAGTCTAGATCTAAAGACAATTAAAAAGGTCTTCAAAAATTAAGTTCACAGAAACTGTGTGTGCAATTAGCCAAGGTCTGAGTTGCTTTTGCAAAAAACAATCTGCAAAACTTCCAAATTATTAGATGTGCAAAGTTGGTAGAGACACACATGAAAATTCTTTCAGCTATGAGTTAAGATTTAGAATTACTTTATTAATCCCTCGTAGGAAATTATTTTCTTGCAAAGCCGTTTACAGAAGTATAATACAGCAAAATAAAATATGATATAACAAGACAGAATAAAATAAGTAATTAACATACCGTAAATAAAATTACAATCCACACAGTAAAATGACATACAACCTTCTCAGATAAACAGTGTAAAATAAGATATAGGAATATAATAAGCTAAGAATAAGATAAGGATCTCAGTACATACAATCAACAGTATTTCTTATGAGTTGTTTGAATAAACCTTTTTTTATGAGGGGCTGCAAATAATGCATGTCACATTTTTCAGATTTGTATTTTTATATAGCCTATGGTAATTTCCTCCATTTAAAATTCTATCAGACCCTTATGTCACCCTATTACATGAGATCCCCTAAAACGTTTATGGTTGGAATATGACAAAAGTTTACGGTGCGTTTATACTTTTCCAAGGCTATATACATGGATCTTCTCAGCTGTGACTAACAATATTTTGTGGTTTTTTTTAACAAATACTCCCAGAAAAAAGACCATTGCCATGAATTCCATCAAAGTTTCAGTCTCAACATGACATTGCTCATCAGAAGCCCTGAGGCACAGGATTAATCCTAAATTCCTTTGGTTGAGCTGCAGATTTAAAGTTTCCTGCGACAGTGGATGATTGCACTATGAAAGGTGAAAGGAAAACCTTTTCAAGTCCTTTCCTCTTTTTTTTTCTTTTTTGAAAAAGGGTATATGTCAGGAAGATACCCAGACTTGACAGTGACGGCTTAATGTAAAGAAATCCTCCTCTCTGATGAGACTTAATAACAATGAACAGCTGCAGCAAGTGCACACATTTTTTTTCTTTCTTTTTGTGCCTGTCCTGAGTCAGAGGATAGCCATACAGATTTGCTTTCACCATTATGACTGTTTTCATAAGGTTCTGCTTGGTACTTGTATTTGAAACTCTATTGAAAATTATTTTGGGAGTGAAATTGAATAAAAGTAAAATCGAATAAAAAAAGACACTTGGAAAGGGAGGTAAGAAAAAAAAGGGTGTAACAACTAAGGGGAGAGGGAAAGAGATAGAGACCAGTAAGAGATCATGAAAAGAGAGAAACTAAAACAAAATAAATAGACAAAGCAGAAGATATGCCGTAACTCCTAGATGTCTGCTTTCACACCTTTATGAGACGAATGGGAAAGAAAACAAAGAACATAAAAACAGCAAACAGAAGACATCAGAGAACCAATTAAATATCAACAAAAAATTTCAAGACCTAAGATCTAAGATCCCTTAGATATCCATGTGTGTGGAAGCCAGTACTTATGGTGATTACACAATATTATTCAGGGTGGTATGTATCTGTAGCTTTAGCTTAGTATTTTGTATTAGTGTGTATCCATGAACACCTGGAACCAAACCAAACTAATGCATACATACCACAGGTATGTATGCACGGGTATAGTCTTGTATGAAGGATTATATGCTTAATAGCAGGTGTGGGTGGCCCCAGTCTCGCCCTACAGGGCCCAGGATCGATAAAGAGACGGAATCACTGGGAACAAAAAGAGGGCAGACATACGCATGGCCGCACCCACCAGAGAATGGTCAAAAAGAACACCCGGAGCCTGAAAGGAGCCCAATTCCTGAGGGGCCCGACAGGCCACACTGCCTAGGTCCCACAGGACCGCAGCAACGAGCCCATGGGCTCCAGCTGTGGCTCGTCATACCCGAGGTGGACATGCATGAGAGCCCAGAGGTGTGAGGCTAGGCGTGCACCACCCCCTAATGGGGACCTCACAGGGTCATTGCAGGCACAAACCCTGACCTTGTGCCTGCAATGATATTTTGTTCATCTTATTTAAATTGATAAAGTTCACTTATCTCTTAATTTTAATTATAATCTTTAAACAGTAGTTTTACAGTTCATTTTTATATTTATTCAATTTCGTATTTAGTTTAGAATAGATATGGATAGTCTCACACAAAATTCTAATATTATTGGTCCAGAACAAAGGTGTCAAACTAATTTTAACATTGTCCCACTGGAATTGTCAAGTCTTTAAATAGGCCAGTTGTAGCTGTATAAATTGAACTTTGATTTCATCATTTTATTCATGAAAACAATGACTTTTGACTATTCCCCTTTTTTTGCAGTTTAATCCACTTTATACAGTACTTTAAAAGAACATATGGCTCCACTTTATCCCCTTGTGTTTGACACGTGTTCTAGAACAACCCGTAATGGCAGCAAAATTATCAAATGATATTAGGGACAATAAAAAGGACTATTTGGTTTTACCAGATGTTCCCATTCGATTGTTTTATTCATCCCTTAGCTGTTCCTTAATGTATGTTACAGCAACCAGATAAAACAACTATTAATACTACACTATTACTTGCCAAGATTGAGGAGCCATAGCACAGCTGTCACTCTTTTGATAGATATAGGTGGAAATTTATAAACATTTAATTATCTAGATTTTAAAGACAATGAAATGAGTCCTCCAGAGACGTAACGTCTTAAAAAGACATAAAGGCATATTTCATGGTTTTTGAAGAGTGATCTGGTGAAATTTGCTAAAACCTTGCTACCAGTAAACGTCCCTGTTCATGAATTTATTTGGTTCAGGTTTCCAATGATGTGTGTGTGCTCCTCTGTGGGCATTGAAGTCAGGACCATTTTTTTCTGATTTCACCATCTAATAGACAACTATCAGTTGTTATAAAGTGAGGACATTTGTCCGGTCCTCACAACCTGTTTTAATAACAGCTAGGTTTAGATCTAATGTGTGATTGGCTTTAGCGTGGGGTTAGGATGAGTTATGCACTGGTAATTAGGTTTGGGTTATTGTCATGGTTAAGCCATAGAATGGATCAAAAATGACTGAAAATCAGTGGAAGTCAATGAGAGTAAACACACTGAGGGGAGGGATCTTCAGTTAGAATTTAGCAAGTTCATTAAAAACATAATTTAGAAGGTATTCATAACAAATGATTACCTTTGAATAAAAACTTTAATTGACTAAAGAAACTACAACTAAAATCAAGTTTATTTCAAAAGCTTCTGTTTTCAACGTTTTTCAAATACTGATGATCATGTAATCATTATGTAGCCATAAAAAACTGTCAGTAAAAAAGAAAGAAAACTGATGGGATTGAGTTTGAAACGTCTGTCTCAGAGTGAGAACTCTTCTCAGAGACGATCTTTGTTTCAAAACATGGCGGCCTCCATGTGAATGTCATGCCATGTTAAATCCTACGTCTTAATGTTCTATTTCAAGCAGTTTGTTTTGATTTTGTAACTTTAGTTAATTTTATCTTCCTGTTTATTTGCTTCATCTGTCCGATTTTATGTAGAATTATTAAAACCCGGATTTCATAGCTTCCGTAGATCTGGCGTGCAGGCTGCTTGTTTCCACATTAGCGGACCAGTGAATCGCCACCGAGGAGAATTACGATGGATCCTGACCAGCAGCTTAGAAACGTAAGTCACTTTTAAACTCACTGTTTAAGTATTAAAAGTGGTGATGATTCTTATAAACTGGATCTCTTCCAGCTGCGGGATTTCCTGCTGGTTTACAACCGCATGACTGAGATCTGCTTCCAGCGCTGCACAAGCAACTTCAACTACAGAAACCTCACAATGGATGAGGTACTATAAAATAAATCACCCCAACCAACATAATACACTGCATCTAAGTCAACATCTTGTTACAAATATGGTGTTTTTTTTGCCACAGAATAGCTGAGTTACCCTGGTGCCAATTATTATCTCAGTATTTTAATGTATAATGCAGATGGATTATTCATAAAAATCTAATATTTTATGCTAACGTTCTTGTTTCCAAGGAGAGGTGCGTTGACAGCTGTGCTGGGAAGCTGATCCGCACAAACCATCGCTTGATGGGCACCTATGTGCAGCTGATGCCTCGGATGGTACAGCGGAGGATGGAGGAGATGGAGAGCAAGGCTGCAGTGATGGCAAAGGCAACCGAGGCTGCTTCTGCATCTGAGACCATTGGAACTGCTCCAGCAGTTCAGACACCTATAAATCCACCTCCATCTACTCAGATTATTCCATCAATGACTGAAGTAGCACCAGTAGGCCATGATTCAGCACTGAAGCCACCAGGGGTGGAAATTCCAGCTGATTCAGGAGGCATTGGAATAAGTTTATCAGCTCCTACGCCGATTACACCCACGACAGAAAATGTAAATATCTCAGAGCTTAAAGAACCTGGACAATCTTAGTTTCCATAAACAGATGGATTTTCTTAGGCTGCTGTATCTGGAATCCAGAATTACTCTGGGAGTCGTAAACAGTCAGTGAGCAAAAGATGGGGCAATAAGCAGGTCCTAGAGAAAAAACTTGGGGCTTGGCAGGTCAAGAGAGGCGTGAATCACATAAGTTTTAGTGATCAGAGTGGAGGATATGTCCTCAAAATCTATCAACACCCCTGCTGTCTGATAACGGCCCCAACAGTGGTTCTTCTTTTTTTTTTTGACTGGTATGAACCTAAGATTTTATTTTGTTTCTTTTCTATAATAAATGTATACGATAACTGTTTTCGGCTGCTGTCACACAAATCGCAGCTGTTTCTAAGTTTAAATTTTAAATAGTTCAGAACAGAAGACAAAAAGTCAAAACTAAACTTAAAGGAAAGGTAAAGATAGGTTCTCTGATCCAATTTTTTTCCACTACCCCAAATTACTGCTTTATTAGGATATTATTTTACAAATTAAAAGCCTGTTACTTTTGCATTTTGCAAAGCTGATGGCTAACTACAAAGAAAATGGAGGTAGAAAGTATTGTGCCACAAGTAACTCCTATATAAGCTACATCTTAAGAATAAAACAAGCTACTTGTTACTGGTAGAAAAAGAAAAACAACTGAAGCTGGAATATTATTGACTAATTATATATTATAAGGCCTTTTTAATTAGGTAGTCAGTTAGTTTTCTGTATGGTTCACACAGAAAGGTTATTCGAAGGGCAATGCTTCCTACCTCCATGTTTAATATAAAATAACTTGATGGTTTAAAGTTCGGCAATTGCTATTACCTACTATAAGCATATCCTAGCAATAGAAATCTGCTTTGGTCTCTGTTCCTGTTGGACTAGCTGTTAGCCTGATGTGGATTCATATTGAAGGAAAAACTTTTAACTGAACTTAACATCTCACTTCTCACTTCAAAGCTGTTCCCTTTAAATACGTCATGTCTTTTGTCTGTTTTCAACAATGTGGAAATGTTTTGATTTAAAACAAGAAATGACATATAGTGCTAAAATAATGGTGGACTGTGGTGATGTGCCTAAAAAAAACACCACAAGTGATTTAAAAAAGCTGTCATTATTCATGTAACAAAAAGTGAAATAAAGCTTGTATATCAATATTTCATGTTTTCAGGTTTATCAGTGTTTATTAAAGATGATGAAAAACAGCTACTGCTTTCAGCATATTCATATGATTACATCTTAGGCTTATTTTTCTGAAACTGTCCTGCGACTCCTAGTCAACCCGTCAAAGCAACAGGACTTACTGCTGTGGTGGTGAATGTAGTTCATGACCTTTGTCACATCTCCGTATCCTCCCAGAGTTTCCTTCCTGTTGTTGCATTATCTAGATGATCTCACATAGCCTGACCTACAGTAGTGCTCCGATCTGTTACATGCAGTCAAAATCCACTAGGACCGTGACAAACGATATGAGCTCGAGTTTGATGGTATTGGCATAAAGGTAATTACTTTAAATCGCTGTTTGCATTCTGCAATTCTCACCGTCAGGCAGTTTAATGCATTCTGAAAAGAGACAGAATAATTATCCCATCAGTGGATATAATGGAAGAAAAAGGACTCAACGAAAAGCTACTTTTTAGCTGTTGTCATGTAATGAAAGGCTGTTAGTTGCTTTTTTTTTAAGTTATCTGATAGTGGCAAAGCTGTATAATTACTGCTCTGTAATTGCTTTACTTTGTAAGATGCTATTAAATAAAGATATGTTAACGTTCACTTCAAAAAACAATGTAATTGCAATTCTTTCGCTATAAGTTGCCATGATTGATTATGATCAATATGAATTCTTTTCTTGGCTATTACAAAAAGTGAGTTAGAGTCCAGATAACCTGCCAAATGTTGCATACAACAACCAGGGCTCTGAGTTTGTGATATTACAGGCATTGGGTTGTCAAGGTGATTGCAAAACCATTTGATGTGCAAATCCATTTCCTGAACAAAAGCACACTACGTGAAATTGAAGTTTATATATAAACTTTACAACTCTTAACTGTATTCAAATAGTTCCCATTTTGTCTTAGTACATTTTTTTATATTATTTAGACAATGCATTGATGTCTTTTACATCTATTTTTGCACTGCATTGCAACAGCTATTAAATAGCTTAGTCAATTTTTTTTTTTTTTTTAATGCAAATAACCTTTTTGAAGGACTTCAATGACATGTACACACCAAATGACATTGACCCAGAAGAGCACCTTTGGGCTGTCTAAGTGTGGGAGATTCACTATTTTGATGTGCAGCACACAATCATAAAGCAGCTGTGTGACGCTATATGAAACTAACATCTCTTTGAATCAAGGCCATAAAAAATTTATAAAGTTTTCCCACCTTTTGCACCAGCAAAGTGTGTGTTATCACATGACCAATGGGTGTTTTTATGAAACGTAAGACATAGGCCTAATTCTCTGTGCAGATCATTAATTCATTTCAAAAATGTCTCATACAATCATTTTTAATTAACCCTCTATAGGGCAAGTTACCATTTTAATCACTTGCATACCCCTTACAAATGGAGTCCCCCCGTCCCTCAGTGAGGTCTAGAAGCACTAGATCTATATCCAGCCATTCAGCAAAGATTCTGCTACATGGCTGTACATCTTATTTTGCCATTTGACCAATTAGATGATTATCTACTGTAAATTAAGTTGGAAAAAAGTTAAGTCAAGAAAAAAAAAGGTAAAAAAGCTAATTGAAAAGGTATAAAGTAAAGATAATAAGCCTAGTAAACAATTAATTAACAAATGTAAGTGCCAATATCAGCATTAATGCCTCTAAGGTTATGTTGTAACAAGAAAAATTTATTTATTTTACTCTCAGAGCGTTTTTCGTGAATTTCTTATAGAAACACTTTTGTTATTTTTACTTAATATATTCGGGAAAGTCGGTGTTTCCTTTCTTACATTTGTGGGCATCAAAATATCCATATTTTTTTAATGTTACAAAGGTAATAAGGTCTTGTCCTGAACATTGTTGGCTTGAAATTTTTATTTTCAAAGTATTTCACTGAGTGCTCTATTATTTTCCTAACATATTATTCTGCAGTTATTTTTCATAATAGTTATTGTTTTTTGTTTTTTTTTTTTGATTGTTTTTGCGCAAACAACATTCGCATCGTTGCATTTGCACCTGCAGGGGGCGCCGTTTCGTTGTCCCAGGACGTGGCCCTTCGTGGGGAGACCTGGAGCGGATAGCGGGGCGTGGACTCCGAGCGATCAGTGGAGAGGAGACAGTGGAGGGTTCTCGGGTGGGGTGGGAAAAAAGAAAGAACTTCAAAAGATACTTACTGGTAAGACTTTCGACACTTTGTTTACGTTTATTCAGGAAAATATTAGACACTTAGTAGCGGGTTTAACTGGGAGCTTTTAAAAGTGGGATTCATGGTCATCCAGAGGGTCCAGCGGGAGCCTACGTAGAAAGAAGGAAATGTTAGAAAGTTCAGCTATTTGTTGACTTCATCACATAGTTATTTTCTTCTCTTTAGATGTAGATTATTTTATATCTTGTATTTTGTGTAATAACACTAGAAAAAATGGCTTTAAGAGTGATAATTAATGAAGATGCAATTTCAGTTATTTTTACCTGTAAAGGAAAACTATAAGAATTTAAGTTTTTGTTGCATTTTTAAGAGAAAATATCACTTTACATACTCCATTTTTCCGCTTTAGAAAAAAGAAACAGCTGAAGGGAGAAGCGTCCAGCCTGCAGCAGAAGAATGGATGATATTTTCACACAGTGTCGAGAAGGAAACTCAGTTGCTGTCCGTCTGTGGCTGGACAACACAGAGAATGACCTCAACCTGGGGTGAGTCTATCTCTCACTCCCTCATGTGCATAACATGGGAGTAATGTTGGCACTGCAAGATATTTTGGGTCCAGTGGAATGTCTGTGCAAAGACAGGTAAACATGAGTCATTCAAAATGGTTTAAATGACCAGAGGCGTAACCAGACAGTTTTTTATAAGGGCGGCCAAAACATCCATATTTTCTAAATAAAGAAACTATATTTTCCTACTGCCTTTCCTAACAAATAGACACATATATTTAAACATCCATAATTTCTAGATAAAAGGCATAGTGGATAAAACTCAGTTTTGAGTTCTGGGGCATAAATCTTTTCCATTGTCATCACTTACCTACTTGTATCAATAAACATTCTGCATAAAATTGATATTTACAAACACTAATATCTACATAAATTGATTATTTGATATGTTTTTATTGATATTGTTATTTATCTATGATTTCACTGAAGATACTAGATGACTTGCAGAGACACATCTTCTCTTTACCCCATATAATACAAAATCTATTTCTGAAAAGAGCATGAATTCTGTAGCCTGACGTAGTCCTACTCAATTCTAGTCAGAATATGAGTCTGATACTGCTCCATAGAGCTGTGATTATGGGGCGTGTTTTGAACGAACCAGGAAAAAAATTGCCTCTGCACTCAATTGGATAGACCTACAACCAATAAGAGCAACGGACTGCTTGACGTATGTTAATCGACGCATAGTTGTTGTCAACAAAAACCAAAGGGTGCAGTTGCGCGCCTAGAATAAGAAGATGAGCCTTGATCGCGTTTCTCTGTTCCTCTTTTAAAATTAATTTGCTGTCGATATCTTCTAGAACAGACCTAATAGCAGAATCTACACACCTCAACTCTCCGGCGGCAGCCATTGTTGTCACCAATGCGCGCTTTGGTCACATGGTTGATTACGTTACTGTTGATCATCTGTCCATCATCGTATAAAGCCCGCCCTGACAATTTGATTGGCCCGCCAGATATTGTGCGAGCATACTCGCGCTACTATTAAGCAATGCCAGACCGAACTTCCCGACCTCAAACGTTGTGGGCAGGACTAAGTTCGGAATGGCACCCAGGCTATGAATTCTGTACTTATCATATTTGATGTTAGTATACTGATGTGAGTAATGAACCACAAAAAAAATAAAAAATTTTTGAATATTCCACTTGAGAGTATTATTGCTGCCACCATCTGTATTAGAGAGGGGAAAAAATGGTAGGGGTGGCCGATGATTGGCTAAGGGTGGCCATGGCAACCACTGGCCCCCCGTCTAGCTCCGCCCCTGTGAATGACATGGTGAAAATGTGATAAAAAAAAAATATCAGGTATATTTCCACATTTTCTTCATTTCCCATGATGGTTTGTCTCAGCATGTCAGTGGTTGTCATCAGAAAATAATACTTACATGCAAGCTGAGGTGGGTGGTAACTAGTAACATTTACATAAAGCACTTAAAAAAAAAGTACTTTAAGGAATAGATTTCATGCATCATTTTTCTTTTATTTAAGTAGAAATATGATACAGAAGTGCTGCTTTTACTTGATATTTGGGAACTTTTGTGCCTATAATTTAGGGATGCACGATATTGGGATTTTGGCCGATATCCGATATGCCGATATTTTGAAACTCATGTAGCCGATAATCGATATCGATACTGATGTTAAAGCTGGAGAAAAATAAGTAGTCATTGAAAATAGCAGTTTTTTTATCAATTTCTGACACTTTGAAAAATAATAAACTCAAATATATTTTCATATGCTGATATCAAATTGATTTTTAAAAACACGGTATCGAGCTATTTTACTTTCAAAATCTCGTGAAATTTAATCGTTCTGTTACAAACTCGTGATATTTAGCAAATTCTTGTGAGATTTTGTTAGTAAAATAGATCGATACTGCGTCAATATATCAACATATAAAAATATGGCAAAATTTCGTGAATTTTCAGGGGATTTCGTAGCATAACGATGACATATAGCAATATTTCATTAGTAAAAGAGATTGATATGGTGTTTTTAAATGGCAATATATCAGCATATGAAGATATTGTGATATTTTAATGTATCAATATTTTTTCCCTCGTCTTTAGAGGTTTTTAAGTCTGTAAAAAAGAAGTTTTTGAGGAAGAAGAAGAAGTAGTATTTTTTTTTTCTTTTAGACTTTAGAAACTCAGAAGCTGATCAAATATCGGGTTAAATATCGGTGGGGTGGCCGATGTCCGATATTCAGTTTTAAGGCCGATACAGGCAGATACCAATAGGGGGCCGATTATATCGTGCATCCCTACAATAATTCATCACACCTAGAGGAGTGTTGGCCTAGTGCAGGGGTAACAAATAAAAAAGCAGACCAAACTTTATCTGCTCTCTCTTTCTAATCATCTTCTCCATCTTTCCCATCTCCCGGCTTGCCACAGGTTTGCCTGCTGTGTCTAAAAGTGGCTCACCGCAGTGACCCAGACAGACACAGCTCATTGGTTAATTTGTATCACATGTAGCCTGGTCCTGGACGCTCGGGAAGGCTTTACCATATTGACAGGAGAAGCAGCGCAAGTGAAGTTAGACAATGTCGTCGGATAACATGCTGTAATTTATAAATGTCTTGAATCAGGTTGGGTCCAGATTAGCCAGCAGGTGGATCTGGATCCTGATCACGGTCAGTGAGCTAGTGGTTAGAGTAGAACACTTGTGTTCTGAGAGGGCTGCAAGTAACCGGGTCGATCCCCACAGCCTGCACTCTGACCCTTAACACCCGATTGCTCCGTGGGCACCGCACAATCGCAGCCCACTGCTCCCTAAGGGGATGGGATAAATGCAGAGGTATATTTCTCTGATGTGAGATCGATAAAGTTCAAATATTATTAATTATTATTAGCCTTTAATGGGTAAAAAATATTGATAGCACACAGTCCCTTGCAAAGTTACTATTACAAATACTGGTATTTTTAGGGCATCTATTTAGTGCATGTCGCACTATTGCATGTCACACTTTCATTTGATTCTAACTGTTGGATAAAGATTGCAACATTAAAAAAAATACTAATGATCTCAGAGTTTAATCAGGTGGTAGTTATGAAGACCAATCCAATCCTGGATTTTTTTTTTAAATACCTCCTTTACAACTTTTCTTTTCTACTTCATGCCTAAAAGTCATTTTTTTAGGGTAACTGTCCTGCCTACTTTTCAACGCATCCCTACTCTAAAGCTCTGTTGTATTTCTTTTTTAATGCTGTTTGATTCACCTCTAAGCTCAGATCAATGGCGTCTTATCTGAGTTTTTAAAATTCTAGCTCCTAGTCAGCAAACACCAAGATGTGTTTATTATAGTGGCGCCTGTTTCCTATTAGCATTACAAACCTATGATAAGGTATTTTTTGAAAGTGCCGCCCTCTCCAATTAAAAAAAAATAAATAAATAAAAATGCACATGCACAACCCTGTACCCGCCCCCAAAAAAGGACGCTTATTATATGCGGGTGAGAATGCATGTAGGAGCCCATTTCTCCTCGTGTGCGCTCTGTTTAAAAGTTGCTGTTTGCATGGCTCATACAAGCTTACTTTCCAAAAGAAGATTTACAATTTTCCACCATGAAGAAGCAAGTATATTCCTGTGATGGCAATGTATTAATATCCCTTGAAAATATTGATGCTTTTATCCATTATGTCTAATTACTTACTGTACCTTATCATTTGTTGTAACAAAACCTTTATGGGATGCCATCAAGTTTTCTGGCTTAGTCGTTGAAATGTATTCAGTGTTTGACACGCACCATGATACATCAAGAACCTTTTGCATCCTATAGATCTCTAAGGTTGGGTGATAAGATGGTTGAAAACTGAAGAGGCAAAAGTGTTTACTAGAATGGCAGCCTGATAGTGGAACCCTCTTTTATGTTTAATCCTTAAAAAAAACAAAAACCTCTTTTATAAACTTTATCATGGTTGATAAGTTTTTTAGATGGGGTGTTTTTGTCTTAGCTCCTTATATTTATGCCTAACATATACCCATATATTGGTAATAATAATGTCAAATCTAAATAAATTAAGATAGAGCAACTATGTTTTTTTTGTGTTTTTTTAAAATGAGGGTCAACCTTTGTTTCTTAATTGAGGTCCCAGGACTCAGTTGCCTCTTTTCTCATTCTCTTTAATAGAAGGAGTGAAAAAAAATAACTCTCCTCTAAAGACCCTGGTTATCTCATTCTTGGACCCAGCCATATATGTACAGTTTTTTGACGTTCAGGCCCGCGCCTGCTGCTGGCCAACCACGCAACAGCCAAGTCCATTTCCTCTGCTTAGCTCCATACAGGGCCAAGCCCATGGCTGACAGAACTTCTCAGGCAGCTCCCCTACTGTCTCGTATAAACAAATGAATAAGCAGTCATTATGATGAAGGCCTTCTTTGGCTGCTACTCTGAGGAAGCTCAGCTATGTGAAGCGGCTCTTCTGTCCCACTCAGAATGCCAAAAAAAAAAAAAAACGTTCAATGAAGGTATTATGTGACGTCGGAATAATAAGTTGGAACTGAAAGTGGCAGCCAGCGGCGCATTAAATTACCACTCTGCCTCTAGAAGCAAGTGACACAGGAAAACACATTAAAAAAAAGCAGACGTAGAAAGAATGTGTAGCTCAGAGTATTTTCCACTCTGTCATTCCTGTGTTTTTTTCCCTTGTTACTTTATTTAGCCCACAGGCTGGGTTAGTCTATGAGCTGTCTGTCCACATTGAGGACAGAGTGAGTCTAACTGCTCTTTCAATTCACTATAAGCTTCTATTTCCTAAAAGCCTCCTCTATTTTTATTGTTTAGCTGAATGCAGAGTTTGTGGCTTCATAAGGATTCGTGAGAAACAGCAGCCTGCAGACTGTGGGTCAGTCAGTGTAATGAGCCTGGAGACGGAGAGCCCCGTCTAACACCGGCTCCTCGCAGACTGCAAGCGGTCATGTATACGCCATGACTGTGTCCTTGCACATGTTAGCAGGCATTCCAGCTGGCGAAGACATGTTTATCACCTGGCCAATCATCAGATGGGAAGAGGCAGCAGGCACAGAGAGGAAGCATGTGCTTAAGTCTAAATAAAGATTAGTGCCTGAACCTCTGTCAGAGGGTAAACCACACGGAGAGTGTTTTGTTAGTGGAGAAATGCAGTGTTAGCAGAACCCAGATGTTTTTTTATGGTGTTGTCATTTTTATTTTTTATTGAGACTGTGTACCATATTTTATACAGAAGAAATATACATAAGTTTGGGAATATATTATTTAATGCTATAAAGTGTGTGAAAAAGTATTTCATACAAATTTATTCTCCTTTTTCTTTTAAATGTATAGAGGACGATCTTTTATTTCTGGGTGGATCATCTAAATAAATGGTCTTCCTAATTGTCAATCATTCTGGCGATATGTTTACGTAATGCCGTCCTACGTGCCGCCCTTTAGCTATCATTTTCTGCTCATGCGCCCTTTCAAGCGTAAATCTACGGTTTCAGACAGTCATTGAAGCTCACCTTTCTCAACACGGTTCTTTGAAAATGGCCGACGGTCATAAGAGAAAAAGTGTCTACTATTTGCTGTCATAGCTGCCTTCTGTCGCCATAGACTGTCGATATCCGACAGCGGTGACTAACATCAAAGATGGCGCAGGCATGGCGTGGTGGAGGCAGAGTTACGTTACCAATGGTGAGCAAAAAACAGTGATCATTTGCTAAGATTAATTGAGTTTGCTATAAAGTCCACTATATAGTTCTCGCTCTATATAGTGATTGAGGGATTAGCGCAGATGTTCGGTCATGGTAAGCTTGTATGAGCTATGAGAAAAGCAACTTTTAAACAGAGCGTGCACGAGGAGAAATGGGCTCGTGCACCCTCTCTTTCACATGTTTAATAGACGTTCCCTCTTGGGAGCAGGTGCATGGTTGTGTATGTGCATTTTTTTTCAAAGCGGAGAGGGAAAAATTTGCGAAAATCCTCCACAATACCTTTCATTTACACTGAAATTTTTATTTTTTTATTTTCTTCACATGGGGATCAAGGTAGTGGGAATAGTTTTTTTTCTTCTCTTATTACCGTAAATGAAATCATGATTTGAAAACTGCTTTTTGTATTTTTCAAGCTTATTGGTGTCTTTAATTACATTTATTTATTTATTTTTCTTTTTTGACATTTAAGTGGGAAAGAAATGCAAACCATTACCTGACAGGGACAAACTTTTTTCCCTGCACTGAATTTCATTAAATCCTAGCAAAGACTATCTTTTTTGTTGTGTTTTTAACATGTGTTTTTTTTTTTTTTTTAAGGTCTGGTTCTGGTTTGTATGAGATATGTTTTGGCTTAAGATTTTTCCATAAAGAAATGTGGATCATTTTAATCATAAGAGAGAAGATAGCCATCTCAGCCATGGAGGAATGTGCTTTTCTTTACCTAAGCACAACATGCTCCTGGTTTTCATTCTGTTTTAGATCACTGGCCAGTACCTTACTGCGCATTCTCAACTGAGAGAACAGCATTTCACATTTTCCAGATGTCAGAACTCCCCCTGCTACTTCTTTCTTCTTCCACATCATGGATAAATATTTCATATGAAGAAGTCATCACATTGCCTTTGTTTAGGGAGGCATTTGCTGCAAATAATGAGCTGTTTGAACTTCTCTTTGTACTTTGTGTGCCTGACATTCTGCGAGGGGTTGATCTGTTGGATTATTTTTTTTTGTGTGTGTGTGTGAAAATGCTGCTGTTTTTTATAGAAAAAGTTTCATTTCAGTCTTTTTATTGTTAAGGTGGTTAAACTATTTAAGCTTGATTAGTCTTTAGTTTCATCATAGACTTTTGAGGATATGTCTCTTTTCTTCCTGACCAAGAATATAGTTCTCCTGCTAAAGTCCAGACTTTTATATTCTCTTTTTTTCTGGACTTTCAATGGCTAATTGATTTTTTTCTTCTCAGAGTTCGTGTGGCAGTTTTAGTACCTAAAAAGAAATGTTCTTCACACTAAAAGAACTTTAATTGCTTCTGTCTGTGTGTTTGGATGTTATGTAGTCAGATAAATAGAAATATATGACCCCCACCGCCTTGTTTGATTCTTATACTCTGGTTTGTTAGAGACGATCACGGCTTTAGCCCGCTCCACTGGGCGTGCAGAGAAGGGAGGAGCGGGGTAGTCGATATGCTTATCATGAGAGGGGCACGAATCAACGTGATGAACCGTGGAGATGACACACCTTTACATCTGGCTGCGAGCCATGGACACAGAGACATTCTGGCTAAGGTTTGTTGTTTTTTTTTTTTATACCCAGCTGGAACGTTCATGTTTATTTGCACTGTCTGTACCTGGTTTTGGTCGTTCCGGTTCCTGACTTTCTGACATGTAAATGGCAGCTGATTCAGTGCAAAGCGGACCCCAATACAGTCAATGAGCACGGGAACACCCCACTGCACTACGCCTGCTTCTGGGGCCATGATGAAGTAGCTGAGGTGCAGCACTCTACACCAACACACTTTTAACATCCCTCTTTGGTGACATCTATTGGCAAAAAACGCCCTCTTATGGGCAGAGACTGCTACTGCAGCAAAACCTGTTCCCTTTATGATCACATTTAAAGCATACAGAATTACACACATAAATAAATATTATTATTTTATGTATCTTATGTGATATCTGTCGTTAGGACTTGGTAACCCACGGCGCCCAGGTGTGTGTGTGTAACAGATATGGGCAGACCCCTCTGGATAAGGCTAAACCTCACTTAAAACAGTTGCTGCAAGGTCAGACTTGATTTACAGATTTCCTTTTTTTTGTACGTGAATACGATCACAAAAGCAAGCTAACAGTTTATGTTATATTTCTCAGAGAAGGCAGAGAAAATGGGCCAGAATATGTCCAAAATCCCATATAAGGAAACCTTCTGGAAGGGTACAATGAGGACGCGACCTCGTGAGTAACGTTTCTCTGATACGATGGGAGCAAAGTGTGATTTTAAATTAGAATGCGTGTTTTATTATTTTTCCTCTTGTATTTTCTCTCACAGGTAACGGCACACTTAACAAGCAGGCCGGTATTGATTATAAGCAGCTCTCACTCCTGGCAAAGATCAATGAGAATCAATCTGGAGAGGTCAGCTACATTCTGCCTTTAAATTCTGTTTGACAGTCTTTTTTTAGCTGCTCCAGCTGATTACAGCAGGGTGTGCTCTACTTTTAGCTATGGCAGGGCCGCTGGCAAGGGGATGAGATTGTGGTGAAGGTACTGCATGTGAGAGACTGGACCACCAGGAAGAGCAGAGACTTCAACGAGGAGCATCCAAAACTCAGGTAATTTACAACTAGACTCTTGATATTTAGGACCCAGACCTCATGCATTATTATTTCATTAAACATTTTATTGGAATATTCTTTCAACCATCTACGAAATGCAGTTATGAATTGGTACATTTGGTGCAAAATAAATTTTTGAATTGGTTTCACAAGTTTAAATTGTCTGTAGTTTTCTCTACTTCATAAATGCTCATAACGATTCAGATTCAAATGTTTCTCAAAGCTTTTGCAGTCACCACCTAGCGTTTGACAAAAAATCTGGCCAGATACTTGACCACTATTTTGACACAGTTGGTACGTTTTCTTTTAGAATAATTGCTCTAAGCATAATCCACAACAGTGTTGAGGTTAGGTTAGCATTCTAGACTTTTCCATTTACGCTTCATTTTGTCATTTTTTGTGTATCAAGTTTCAACTTTTCACCGATTTGACCCAAACTCCCAGCCTCAGATAAAGGAAACTAGTTTGGATATTAAACAATAACCCAGAAGCAACCAGTACTTGTCATAAACTGGAAGCTGCATGAGCCCCACTGTCCCTTTCTGAGGTGAACAGAGTTCTATGTGAAGTTAGAGAATGCCAAGCAAAAAGAGGGCCAAATAAATAACTTTGCAGCTTATCGAACAAAAACATCTCATACCTTCTGAAGAAAAAGTGTTTCAGTCAAATGATGCAAAGATTGTGATGTTTTGGCAGAATGAAACTAAAGGGTTTTGGAAGAGTCAGGCTAGATGTTTTTGATGGACCGAGTTGTCTGATGTATTTCCAGGAATCTGCTGTAACCACTCCTCCAGTTTGTGGGTCAGTGCCCCAACTGCCCCAACAACCATGGGCACCACTGATGCCTTGAAATTCCAGGTTTTCTCCAGGTCTTTCTCCAGTAGCCTAGTTTCTCATGTTCCTTTTTCCTGACGTTGCAGTCACTTGGTAGTGCTATTGCACAGGTTTCAGGTATTACAGGAGACAATCCCCCCCCTTAATGGCAATCCCCCCTTTAACGACCGACCCCTAGAATCATAGACAGGTTCAGATATTACAGGCTAACGATGGAACTAAACGACCCATTCATCGGTTACCATTGCATGTTTCCAAGCGATACAAGGCGTTGTCTATATAAAACTCAAACTCACTGCGGACACAGACATTTGAATTGAGAAAGCTTCCTGGAGAGGTGGCGAAACGTCTTCAAATCTTGAAAACCAAGTCCAGTGGATATTTTTGAATTTTTACGGGATGCACAACCGCTTTCCTCTGCTTTTTCTCCACTACCACAATGTCCGGTTGGTTTTCCATTACCATTCGGTCCATCTGTATCTTGAAGCCCCACAGGATCTTGGCTCGGTTATTCTCTACCATCTTTGGGGGTGTTTCCCACTTTGACCTTGGGGTTTCCAGCCCACACTCTGCACAGATGTTCCTGTACACTATTCCAGCCACTTGGTTATGGCGCTCCATTTAAGCTTTCCCTGCCAGCATTTTACACCCTGCAGTTATGTGCTGGATTATCTCAAGGGCCTCTTTGCACAGTCTGCACCATGGGTCTTGTCTGGTGCAAATGTGTGTATTTAAGCTGCAAATTCTAACTTGTCTATGAGGATCAAGTTGCTTGTTTTGTAATCACCCCACATCCTGAAAAGAACACTCAAATCATTAAAAGCAGAAAATAAATATGAAATGTACAAAATGACCCCTAATTCACACAGAATGTGGATGTGCACTCAGTCTGTAGAGGCTGTGAAAAGTTAGATTCACAATCACTCAAAACTTAAAAGCATTTTTATCTGGGTCAGTGGTCAAAACCGCTCTGGTTTTGGTACAAAATGTTGGTGCAACAAAGAAAAGGTGGTTCATAGTTTGACTTTGTTTTGTTTCTGTAATAGGGATCTATGCTTTTAAATTTTGTTGTCATTTTCTTTGCTCTTTTTGTCATCATGCTCAAATAGATAAATGTGAGTTTGCTCAAAGCTAAACCAATTCTAACTCCAATTTGCCCAGAGAAGCACATCAATAAACCATCCTATAAAGTGTACTCTCAGCTGTGTTTGCAGTTCCTTGCATGCACCCAAAGCAGACTCCTGCATCAAAATAGCCATAGACAACATAAAACAAAGCATGTTTTACTTTTCCAACATCCTGACCATGTTTAATCAGCGTTTCCCATCTCAGAGACTCATTAGGCTAAAAGGGGAAAAAAACAGAAAAGAACGAGAGAAACCTTTAAACTTGCCAAGTCAAAGAAACCCCGCTGGAGAAGCACAGCACAGCTGTGTTCTTACTTTAATGTGAGCCTCAGTTCTTCTTTTGCTTTCTTTTAAGAATGTGTGCTCAAATAAAAGCACTTGGGCCTGACTTGAATTTTTCAAAAATGAAAGAGTTTCTGTTAATGAGGTATAAAACTTAACTTTAAAAGGCTCCAGATCATACAAGTGTAATATTAGTTATATATTTCGTTATAGTTTCATCCCTATGGCCTAGAGTAAAATGTAATATTATGTTAACACAGCAGAGCCGCTTTTAGCTGTTTCTCTTTCTACATTTGTAGGATCTTTTCTCATCCAAACATTCTGCCTGTGCTTGGGGCATGTCAGTCGCCTCCTTCTCCTCACCCAATCATCATTGCCCATTACATGCCATACGGATCTCTCTACACCATACTCCACCAGGGCACAAGTAAGTTGTTTGCTTTAATTCGAAATTAAACATAATGGTGTTTTTTTTTTTATGCACCCAATTATTTTCAAACATTTATTTTTTAACATCTTCACTAAGCTACAATATTTCAGTTATTCTATCATTTTAAGCACAGAAATGTTAGAAATTAAAGCAGATGGTCACTGAAACCCCGCTGAAACAAGTGAGGAGGGTAAGCCATGAAAAGTCTTTGCTAAATTAATAGAAAGATGAGTCAAAGGTCAAAGTTTTGTTGCTCCAGAATACATATCTCACCCTTCATTCCTATAAGCTGTGAAAACTCTTTTCATAAGAAAATAACATTCATGAGAGAATTATTCTTTTTTGTTTTTTTTTTCAAATTACATTTTTGTCATCAGTTGTTTCGGTATGTTGCCTGAAATGTTTCTGTTTCTTTGGCTTTCTCAGCCCTAGTGGTCGACCAAAGCCAAGCGGTCAAGTTTGCTCTGGACATTGCCAGCGGCATGGCTTTTCTCCACACCTTAGAGCCTATGGTTTCACGGCTTTACCTCAATAGTAAGCATATCATGGTAAGACACTTCTCTCTCTTGTACTGTACATCACTTTGCAGAGCTATTGGTAGTTTTAGAGGAATCTCAAAATTTTATTTTTTTTTTGTATCGCAAAAAAATTAAAGCACCATCCAAAATTCAACATAATATTTATTAAATTGAGAATACTATCTCATTTTAAGAAATTATCACTGGAGGTGATTAAAATAGCATTAATCTGAATTTTATGGCAAATTTTAGATCTCAGCTTTTTTCTTTTTTCAGCAGGTAATACAAGTTATGGCTGATTCATATATTTATGTATATATATTTATGATAGGAAATTAGAACATATAAAAACAGAAATCCTTTTATTTCTCACTTATTACTATATTAGTAGTTAGCGTGGTTAGCATTACAAGAAAAGTTGTTTTTCATACATATTCTCTGGAGAATGCAGTTCTTAATCTGAAGATATTTACTACAAGATAAGCAAAACTTACCAACTTTTCTAAAATCTATTAAAGAATAGAGAGTAAAAGTATACCACTTTGCTGAAATCTGTTCAGCCTTCATGTTGTCTGCATTAGGCCTTTTTTGCTCATGCTGCCTTTTTGAACTAGAGGCACATGTCATTATTTTGCAGAAAATAGTTTACTATTAAAACAGCTATTAACATATGTGTACTATCTCTATCTTGTTTTAAACTCCTGGCGGATAAAGCAATAGCCCACGTTTTCATCATCTCATAATACCAACTTCCTCACCAAAGACAGTATTTTGAGCTTTACTCAGCTGCACTTACTTGTGGTCAGTTTACTGATCTTTAAAAGGTAATATTTGATATTTATGAACAACTTGTCACCAATCAGAGCCTATCAAGCTGAAGCTTCTTGAATGCAGTCAATAGCTTAGTATTTCTGATTGAATTCCAGTTTCTTTTTTAACACCATTTCACAGACGTCATCTCAAGGCCCTAACTCATTCAAATCAAGCAGACAGATTGGTTGAAAGTTTTCTTAGAAACCCATCTGATTGCATCCAGTCATTGATTTTGCTTAAATTACTTGTGGTGAAATATGAAGCTAAACTAAAGCTACGTTCACACTTGATGCTCAATTCCGATTTTTCTATGAAATCCAATTTTATTGCGTGGCTGTTCACATTTCCAAATATATGCAACTTGTATGTGATCTCCTGTGTGAACTGCAGTCATACAACTCAAGTGTCCCGCATGCGCAGTAGAGGATGCAATGACGTCACAGGCCAGCGTACTCTGTGTTTACGAAAGTAAACATGGATGGTAGTACCGGAGCTCAACTAGCAATCTTTCCCAACCATAAAAACTCAATCTTTTCAAATGGTTAAACATAAAAACTGTCCTCCACATCATTGTCCGCCATGGTTGTTGTTTTTCTTGCCGCTACTTCATAGCAAGACCCAGAATAGTGACCTTTGTGAGGTATTAATGGCATTCAGGTCGGATGAATGCGACCTGGCCATTCAGACACAGGTCGCATTTGAAAAGATCAGATTCGTATCGGATTCAGGACAACATAGCCAAGTGACCTGGTAGAGGTGAGTATTGGCATGAGTGTTGTGATTCGATACATGTCGCGATACTTGGGTCACGATACGATATTATCACGATATTGCAGTATCACTATATATTGCCATATTTTCCCCAGCTATCAAAATCAAATGATGAGATAAAACAGCAAGTGCTGTATATTTTCATCAGAAAATATTGATTAGGTATCATTATCCATGTTGTTTGGGGTTTTCTTCCACTGTGACTGCCTCAAATACAGATTTGGTGCTGCACGCACAGTTAAAGGGCTCCACAGCGCTTTCTGACAGAGTGGTGGTACAGAGGTAGCCCATTTTCCCATCAACGTTTTATGTAAGTGAAAGATCGATATTATATTGGGAAGCCGAATATCACGATATATCGCCAAAACGATTATTTCCCACACCCCTCTGACCTGGGTCAGTTGGAAAAAAATCTGATCTGTATTGTTCAGATCAGATCCAGGTCGCATATGGGCCAAAAAATCGGATTTGGGTCACTTCAGGCTAAAATGTTAACGTACCCTAAGTTGTTTTCTCTACAGCAATCCCTCTCACTATAGCCAGCACTTGCGTGCATGCAGCGACAGTGGAGAGGAAGACACCCCCAGCAGAACCAGGCAGCAGAGTGTCGCAATGAGCTTGTCGCAGATATTTTTGATTTATGCCCAGTATTGAAGTGTGGTCTGCGCTATGTTATTCCACGCCACAGCACAAGTGTGACAATCAAGAACTAGCTGTGGGTCTAGTCTAGATACGGCCGAGGCAGTGAGGAAGTTGGTGCAAGTTTGTGCGACAACAGAGGGACATGAGAGTGAAAAAGAGCTAGGATCCAGGTGGGAAAAGAGTCCCAGCGTTCTTGCGCACCTTGCTCTTCTAGCTGGTCCAACCTCGCGAGTCATTTTCCACAATGACGGTCATACAAAAAAGACAAGCCAGTAAGGAACCAAACAGGAAATACGCATTGTGTAGAGCAGATGTAGATTTGACCAATCCGATGTCTCCTGTCTGCGGCACTGTCTGCGTTGACTTACAATTTTGGAGAAGTAACCAGATTGTCTGCGGACGGGGGGGGGGGGGCACATTTGCACTCACACATGCAGGCGACCTGGTTTCTGAGTATAAATCAGCCTTCAGTGTGAGCAGCAACAGAGGCAGATAAAAAAAAATCTCTGTTGTTGATCATAGTGACTGCTCACCTAAACTTAACAGCACTCATAGCATCGATCAGTAACAACTGAAACTGTGAGGAAAAAGGAAAGCTGGAAGAAGATTTTTATATATGGTGGAGGTAAAGGGAACAAAAAAAACATTGAAAGCTTACCTTTAGAGAACAGCAGCAAAAGGGGACATTTTAATTTTAGCAGGTCTGCATGGAAGCCATTACTTCAAGCTTCTGTTTGCTTTAGGTGTGCAAATAATTTTGAAAGGAAACATGAAAAGCAAACATAAGAATTCTTTAGTAAGCTGAGTTAGCTTAGCAATAAAATATATCTGATTCTGATTTCATTTCCAGATTGATGAGGATATGACTGCCAGGATAAGCATGGCAGATGCAAAGTTCTCCTTCCAGTGTCCTGGTCGAATGTACTCACCAGCCTGGATGGCTCCTGAAGGTATGTATTCACATCTTAAACCTTCTCAAACCACCTCCATTAACATTTTGCATCCTGTGTCATTTTGTTCTGCTGCTGTTTTATTCATGCTGTATATCTGAGGTATAAAGTAAAATTTTTGTGTTTTTTTTTTCTTTCTGCTGCTTTAAGCCCTGCAGAAAAAGCCAGAGGACATCAACAGAAGATCTGCTGACATGTGGAGCTTTGCAGTGTTACTCTGGGAGCTGGTTACAAGGGAGGTCCCCTTTGCTGATCTGTCAAACATGGAGATAGGAATGAAGGTAACGCGGCACCAAAGCTCCAACTCCACAATTTTTTTACACAGTGCACTGCTAAATTATTCACTCTTATATAATATTGTACCTCATCAGAATATAAACACATAGTACTATTTTTTCAATTGGAATTTTAAATGAACACAAACTAGGGGACAGTTGTGAAGTTGAAACTGAATGCAGAGTATTCAAGATTGTCTACAACTGGAATTCTGAAAATAAGTGCAGTCATTGCATTGGCCCTGTCTGAGACAATAGTTTGTAGAGCTGCCTTTCACTGATATGTATGTTTTGAGGTATGTTTCTACCACCTTTGCAAATTAAAAGACTAAAATACATCCCTATTTAGCCAAAAAACGTAATCGTATTAAATAGAGGGATCTACGAAAATCTGTTTTTAAGATTTTTATTGGGACTTCAAGTTTGGCTAAACATATGACCAGGCTTTAATCTAAACTATTCCCTTAGTTGTTCTGGCTGCATATTATGGTTGTCCTCACTGAATGGTGAACCTGCTCCCCTGTCTTGAGTCTTTTGCAGCCTTAAACAGGTTTTCTTTTTCAAGTGTCGTGTATTAAGCTTCATCCATCTTTCCAACAATTCCGACTTTCTTCCCTGTTCTCACTGAAAAGAAGCATCTTACGCCATGATGCTTCCCCCTCTGTGTTTGGTTCTACCAAGAATATTGTAACGATATGTGAAATAATTCCTTTTCAATTTCAAAATAAATAATAATTGCACTGAATATGGTATTATATTAAGGTATTCAAAGCAGCAGCTAATATTCCCTCTGTTGTTCAGATTGCTCTGGAAGGACTCCGGCCAACCATTCCACCAGGCATCTCTCCTCATATCTGCAAACTGATGAGGCTCTGCATGAACGAAGACCCTGCCAAGAGGCCAAAGTTTGACATGATTGTTCCCATCTTGGAAAAGATGCAAGACAAGTGAATGTCTCAGAGACAATACGTCCAAAACCTTTGTTTTTGTTATATAATCCAACCACTCCATAGCTTCACTCAAGCAAATGTATCTGCTAGGCCACTGTAAATAAAGCCACAAACCACTGTATCTGCATCTAGTTTGATCATCACTATCCTTAATTTGTTCAGGTTCAATTTATGTTTTAAGTTTTACTTTGATATATATTTTTTGCGCAACGGTTTTCAAAACATTGTCTGCGATCTGGATTACATTTAAGTGATTCATAAGACAGAAGCTCATCCAAAGAATGTTTATAGAATCCTAGCTTTTTATACACGCCTGTCATAGCAGATTAAATACAACTTTATATTTATGACAAATGCTTTTTCTAATGTATTATCTTCCAAGTTTTGAAGCACTTACGGAATAAATTATTCTCACTTGCTCTTATGTTGCAGTGGCCTTATGTTGTCAGGCTGCGTTCGATTTGTGGAGCTGATGTGTCTTTTTGCTAAATTGTCAGGTATTCTGTGAAAACATACTGTTACAGATAGGAAAGAATGTATGAAGCACTTCTACTCTACCAGGTTATTTTTTATTTCTGTTTTGGAACAATAAAATTGAATAAATGTTTTCAAGAAGAGTAACATTATATGAAATATTCTTACAACATAAAAAGACAACTAGAATTAAACTAATTAAAATAATACCTATTTTTATTTGTGTATGACAAAATTGCCAAATAAAATTGCCGTTAATTATTAATTCACACCTTTGTATATTGATTATTTTATGTCCTCAAGTTCTTCCATCTTTCATTTTATTCTGTTTCTCCAACAACCTCGATCCAAATGATTGCATTGGCATCAAGGAATGCAGAGTATTGTTAATCCTTCATTTCGTTTTGAGAGAAGAGTGTGGCATTGGGGAAACGCAGGGCAATGCGTCCTGAGGATCAGGGTTAGCTTTAAATGTCAAACTTGAAGCTGCAGGGCACCATAAATGCATCTGTCTACCACCAACATGTTTGATTATAGGCGTAATCTTTCTTTTATTTATTTATTTTTTTTTTGCATATTTTCAGTTTAACTTTTCGTTTATAAATAAAGTCATCAAGAGTTTTTTTTATTTTTTTTACCAATTTAAAATTTAGCATTAGCTTTTGTTTTCTACTTCTAAGTCCTTGAAATCCTATACAGGGATGGTTACTTATCCCTGTATGCTATCAATGCAGGTGGGTGTTCTGAAGTTTTAAATAATAAAGAATAGCTTAACTATTAGTCTGGCATTAATCAGGTGTAACTAGACAGTGGCGGTACAAGAAATGTTCCATATTGGTGACATTGTGCACTGAGGGGTGGCTGAAAACAGGCACCGAAACCAGTTCAGGGTCAATATATACTAATCAGAATGAAAAAAAAAAAACAGAAAACTGAGCACCAACAATATCTATATTTTCTAAGTAAATCACTGAAGACAGTCCAGGTTTTCATGAGTCCCTAGCTAATAAAGCATTGGTGCTGTTCAAAAACTAACTGCATAATATATACATTAAATGGGTTGGGCAGTTCTTTGTCTTTAATTGCAAACTCTTTTTATCTTTAGAGACAAACTACCCCATAAAACATAAAAGCAAAAACTGTTAGCCCTCTTTAATTGTAGTATATTGGTGTGAATAATTAGTTGCTGTGTTTTTGTTGTCAGTGTTTCTCTAATGTGCTAAAAAATGTCAAAATACGACATTCCACATCATGTAATGACTGCTGCCACCTTCTGGTGTAGAACGGTTCTCAATAATCCTTATATATATTAACACACACACACACACACACATACACTATATTGCCAAAAGTATTTGCTCACCCATCCAAATTATTGGAATCAGGTGTTCCAATCACTTCCATGGCCACAGGTGTATAAATTCAAGCACCTAGGCATGCAGACTGTTTTTACAAACATTTGTGAAAGAATGGGTCGCTCTCAGGAGCTCAGTGAATTCCAGCGTGGAACTGTGATAGGATGCCACCTGTGCAACAAATCCAGTCGTGAAATTTCCTCGCTCCTAAATATTCCACAGTCAACTGTCAGCTGTATTATTAGAAAATGGAAGTGTTTGGGAACGACAGCAACTCAGCCACGAAGTGGTAGGCCACGTAAACTGACGGAGCAGGGTCAGCGGATGCTGAAGCGCATAGTGCGAAGAGGTCGCCAACTTTCTGCAGAGTCAATCACTACAGACCTCCAAACTTCATGTGGCCTTCAGATTAGCTCAAGAACAGTGCGCAGAGAGCTTCATGGAATGGGTTTCCATGGTCGAGCAGCTGCATCCAAGCCATACATCACCAAGTGCAATGCAAAGCGTCGGATGCGGTGGTGTAAAGCACGCCGCCACTGGACTCTAGAGCAGTGGAGACGCGTTCTCTGGAGTGACGAATCGCGCTTCTCCATCTGGCAATCTGATGGACGGGTCTGGGTTTGGCGGTTGCCAGGAGAACGGTACTTGTCTGACTGCATTGTGCCAAGTGTAAAGTTTGGTGGAGGGGGGATTATGGTGTGGGGTTGTTTTTCAGGAGCTGGGCTTGGCCCCTTAGTTCCAGTGAAAGGAACTCTGAATGCTTCAGCATACCAAGACATTTTGGACAATTCCATGCTCCCAACTTTGTGGGAACAGTTTGGAGCTGGCCCCTTCCTCTTCCAACATGACTGTGCACCAGTGCACAAAGCAAGGTCCATAAAGACATGGATGACAGAGTCTGGTGTGGATGAACTTGACTGGCCTGCACAGAGTCCTGACCTCAACCCGATAGAACACCTTTGGGATGAATTAGAGCGGAGACTGAGAGCCAGGCCTTCTCGTCCAACATCAGTGTGCGACCTCACAAATGCGCTTCTGGAAGAATGGTCAAAAATTCCCATAAACACACTCCTAAACCTTGTGGACAGCCTTCCCAGAAGAGTTGAAGCTGTTCTAGCTGCAAAGGGTGGACCGACGTCATATTGAACCCTATGGATTAGGAACGGGATGTCACTTAAGCTCATATGTGAGTCAAGGCAGGTGAGCAAATACTTTTGGCAATATAGTGTATATATTATATATATATATATATATATATATATATATATATATATATATATATATATATATATATATATATATATATATATATATATATATATGATTCAACTATATAACTATATATATAGTTATATATATAGTTATACTGTATATACTTATATATACTTATATAGTTATATAGTTATACTGACTTTTTTTATTTTTTTATCTGCATTGCAGATCATTGTTACTTATCAGAATTCTCAATTTCATGCTTTGTGGTAAAGCGGCATGCCATTGAGGTATTTACTGATATCATGCAGATTTTCTCTTTGCTTTTGTTTTCCTCCTCACCTTTGTCTGTTTGGACAAAGCAAAAATCTATTTTCATATAAGGTGAATAGCACAGAGTCAGAATTCAACTTTATTGTCATTACACTGTCACAAGTAGAAAGCAAGGAAATATAGGGAAGAGACTAAACATAAATTAAAAGAGATATAATAGAATAAAATATAAAAGTTAAAATATACATACATATATAAACAGTTGTGCTTGAAAGTTTACAGACATACCCTTTCCATTAAGGACAAAAAGAGGTAAACTAAAATGGAATTGACAAATAAAAATAATAAAAAATGGAAATTATGATATTGATTTTGGATAGTTGCAACAACGTATATGATATCAATATATTAATCTGAATACATACATACATTTATTAAAAATCAACATAATTTCAATTTTTTACTATTTTTATTTGGCAGTTTCATTTGATTTGTCTTTAATGGAAAGGGTATGTACACTTTAAAGCACAACTGTATAGACATGTATGTGCATTTTAACTATTATATTTTGCTGCAAATATCTTTATTACCTAATGCCTAAAATCCTGATTATTATTGTTTAATCACTTCATCTTATACTGATATTGATATTTGCTTTGTCCAAACATTCAAGTGTGAGGAGAGAAAAAAGCAAAGAGGAGGAAATCTGCAAGGGTATCAGTAAATACCTCAATGGCATGCCGCTTTACCACAAAACATGAAAGCAAGAAGTCTTACAAGTAACTATGGGCTGCAGTGCAGATAAAAAAAACACCTTTAAAAAAGTCAACTTCTCAGATACCCACAATGTTCTTTCTCTAAAATATGTAGCGATTGATTTTGAGCTATTTGAATATGAATAGAAAGAAAGCTGCACGTTTAAAACATATTCCTAAAGCAGGAACAAAAGGATTATGGATATCTGCCACATAGCCCACTCAATAAAAGTGTGCATGTCTCACAAGTGATTATCAAGCTGTTATTTTTTATCTAAAAATTAACGTATGATAAGAGAGTGCTCTGATACTGTTGACCTGCTGTTTGATTGGATTCAGTTTTCTTAGTATGTGGTTCTGGTTTTCTCATTATCTCACTATTGCTTTAGCACGGGCGGAGCCAGCTGGGGGGGCAGGGGTGGTCATGGCAACCCTTAACCAATCATTGGCCACCCCTGTGGCCACCCCTACCATTGTTTTCCCCCTAATAATCAAGTGGAATATTCAAAACATTTAAATTTTTCATATATAACTTACTATTTTTTCATTTATTCATAATTACTTGATAAGAAAAACACTGTGGTTAATTATGCATATCAATATACTAACATTAAAGATGGTAAGTACAGAATTCCTGCTCTTTTCAGAACTATATTTTGTGTTTTATGGGGTAAAGAGAAAATGATGTGTCTGCATTCATTTGGAGTCTTTAGTAAAATCATAGATAAATAACTAATTTAATAAGAAAGATTAATCAATTATATGTAGATATTAGTACTTGTAAATATCAATTTTATGCAGAATGTTTATTGATAAAAGTAGGTAAGTAAATGACTATGGAAAAGATGTTTGCCCCAGAACTCAAACCTGAAAGAATTTTATCCACTTTACATTTTATCTTAAAAGTGTGGATGTTTAAATATTCAGTTTTCAATTCAGTTTATTTCTATAGCGCCAATTCACAAAACATGTAATCTCAAGGCACTTTACAGTTCAACCAGATCATACAGTCTAATTGATTCAAAGTTTTCTATCTAAGGAAAACCAGTTGATTGCATCGACTCATTGACTCGAATGCAATCCCTCACACTAAGCATGCTTGTAGTGACAGTGGAGAGAAAAAAAACTCCCTTTTAACAGGAAGAAGCCTCCAGCAGAACCAGGCTCAGTGTGACGGGCCATCTGCTGAAGCCGACTGGGGTTCAAGGACACAGAAGCACACAGAAACACACAGCCAGGCATACGAGCTACGAGCCAACTCCCATGTCAGAGGATGAAGAGAGCACATCCAGCCAGTCACAGTCAGAGAAACAGGACTACAATGAAAAACAGGCCGATTTCCAACATCTATAAACAAAGGTGTTGATGGCAGAAGCACAGCTGATATTTTTCTCCAGGATGGAGTCACAGCCAAACAGGAACAGATGAGGCGAAGCTACTATGAGAAAAAGCAGATGTTTGCAGATTCTGCAGAGTGGGGGAATAGAGATAGAATGAAGCAAAATGATGAAATGGGGGTCCTTATGTCCTCCAGACATCTAAGCCTATAGCAGGATGTATTTGTTAGCAAAGTGTGTAGGAAAGTATAATTTGTCTTTATTTAGAAAATATCCTATCCATTTTCGGTTATCCCTCATTGCACACTGTTTTGTGCCCGGTTACCCCCATAAAAATGTCCTAGCTACGCCTCTATGCTTTAGAAAACTGTAAACAAAAGGAAAAACAATGTCACGTGAAGAATCAGCTGACTATCAGTTGATCACGTGACGGCGGGGGGGGGGGGCAGCCACAGCCTAGAGGAGACGCATCTGAACAATCAGAGCTGATCATGTCTGATCTACTGTCCTGATCGGGTTCTGCTCGGCTTCTCCCGTGGACGTGGAAGTGGGTTTTGTTCACCACACCGTGGGAAGGAGGTCTGCACTTTTCTTTTGTTTAGAGGTACAGTTTACGATGGTAGGCTAATTTGTTAGCTGACAGGAGGCTGTGAAGTTTCTTCTTGCGGTTGTGAATGACTCATTGCCTATTTATTTTAGCACATGTGAATGGCTGTCAGTTAAGCAGAGAGTGGTGTGACTTCCTTGAAGCAGCTCGGTATATTTTTCCCCTATATGGTTGCTTCCTTCTCGTCAAACAGAAACACGATGAGCCCCTCAGCTCTGCGCCCCTTCCTGGGGCTGATCACCTTCACTTTGCTCCTGGTGTTTGGATCCTGTCATCCGGCGCAGCATCCAGCTCAGACCAGGACTCCGTTCAGACAGCAGCTGGACAGCTTCAGGTTCCCCTGGAGAAACATCACCTGTCCGGTTTGCAAAGCGCTCTTCGCCATTCTGGATGTCGCCCTTCTGGTAAATCTCATATTCTTGCAGCAGAGATCAAAGGCAACACTTCAATAGAGAATTTGCTGCACACACATACTGGTACAATCCAACATTTAGATAATTTAGCAAAGTTCATAATGTATGATGTTTAAAATGAGATGAAATCTTTGTTAAAAATGCAAGGAAGCAAATTGAAAACCTCTTTATAAACCAATAAATAACTGGTAATAAAGTGCGCTTACACAACAAAGGTAAAGTCCAGTGATCACATATCCTGCTTGAGGCTTAAGCAAACTTTGCAGCTGCATTGGGGCCCCAGCTTGCCTGTAAGACCCAATAAATCAATTTTCATAAAAGTCCCACATCTTCCCCTCCAGTTAAATCCTATTTCTATCTTATGGCTATGTATTCCAATTTATCTGATCCCTCTTTCAGAAAACAATAGGACACCAGATGTAACCAGAACAACTGTAAGCGATACAGAATGATATCAATAGAATAAATTTTTAGTGCAAAATGCTCCATAGCAGATGATTCTTTGGACTGTAACAACAGAGTCACATGCTCAATGTAAACTGTGAGTAGATCAGCTGAGAACTTTAGGGCCGGCCTTTGCTGAACACAACTATAATTTACAGTTTAAACTTATATTCCAGAATGTTTAAAGGAACAATTAGGAAATTTTCACCACTAGATGCGATGGCGAGCATTAATGGAAGACTAAAAAAACCCTGCATTTTAATACAAGTTTCTATTAAGCTCAATAACATGACACAAGAGATCATTTGGTTACATTTAATAATTAACAAAATAAACAATAATATGATTTCTTCCTCCTGACTGAACATTATGTTGCCTGTAAATTACCTGCGACTCCCTTTATTGCATTTATCTATTTCTAAATTAGTCAAATCTATTCTCTTTGCGCTCCTGGCCTGGCTATGTAAACAAGATACTGGAGAATGGTGCATCATGTCTGACCATACTTAGGCTGAAAAGATCACTTAAATTCTTCATTTAACTATTTGTTTTAGTTCTTTTTTTATCTAAAACAATGACATATCACTTATTGCTCCTTAAAGTGTTAGCATATTGTACCTTCCTGCTAGGCATAGCTTAAATTCCACCTTTAAAAAAAGGTTCCAGTTGAATAACCTAAAGGCATATAAAGAGATTTTTGGATGAGTTGTTTTTGTATAAAGCAGTCAATTCTTTTACTTGCCTTGTTTGTTTTCTGTTTACCAGCAGTTTTTCTCATTTCCTTCACCAAACGAGGAACTGCTGCATAGACACGCTAGGTTACTATAGGCTAGTAGCAAATGTGTCATTTGTGCAGCAGTAGAATTTGGGATTATTCACCTAAACCACAGAATATCTGAAATGGGAAACAGATTTGAATAAACCAATTTAAGCTTGACTCATTTTTTTCAGGAAGTATTTTGTCGTTATGTCAGTTCCTGACCTAAAGGTTGTTCTATCTTCTTTTTTCCATCTATCAGAGCAGTGTGAACGAAGAGCGGGTGGCACACGCCGTCTGCGAGGCATGCATCCGTCTGCATCTGGCTGATGAGCAGGTGTGTCGGAACATAACGGAGCTCTTCAGGGACGACTTCATCAGGGCGCTGCAGCAGTCTTTGCTGTGGCCCAGTGAAGCATGTGCGGTGTTGGTGGGACCCTCTTGTGGCACATTTGACATTTATGCACCCTGGAACATCACTTTACCAAAGGTTCCAAAGCCTCCTGTTACACCGCCCTCACCTCCCAAACCTGGCTCTCCACAGAGCAGGGTGCTGTTTCTCACAGATATCCACTGGGACAAGGTGAGTTTAAGTAAAGTTCTGATGGTAGCATTTGCTTTTAAACCGCAACAAATAGAGATGCAAAAAGAAATTATTTATTTGCTGAAATCTGATCTATTTTGTTTTTTACCCACTAAAAAAACTCTTACTTCCACAAGCTTTAACTAAATGAAAGGACTCTTCCAGTGTCAAATAGAAATAAAATAAAAATGAAGAGATACAGAACTAAGTTTGTGCAAAGACTTTGCATGCAGATTGCAGTACATCTCCATTTGTTTAAAACCTGTGTTGACAGGAATACCAAGCCGGCAGTGCTGCAGACTGCAAGGAGCCTCTTTGCTGTCGCGAAGACTCTGGCGTTCCAAAATGGAAGCGGAGAAAGGCCGGGTACTGGGGGACATACAGCAAGTGTGACCTGCCTTTACGAACGGTGGAAAACTTCCTTAAAAACGCCGCCAAAGCCGGACCTTGGGACTGGGCCTATTGGACTGGAGACATCCCAGCACACAACGTTTGGTCTCAGACCAGAGACCAGCAGTTGACAGAGCTGACGGTCATCTCCAGGCTCATCCACAAGTAACTACTGTTCATTTTAGTACTTTAGAAAATACTGCTGTTTAATCTAACATATGCACATTATACTTAAAAGTATCTGCCTTTACTCACACAAGAACTAAGATAATATCCCATCCTTAGATTTTTACATGAAAGGTTTAGAGAAACGCATAGAAGCCGGCCCATGTAAATAAAAGCTGGGATTGTGCGACAGTCTGCATTCCACATGGGTTGTGTTTGTTTTTAGTCATGCTTTGTAACATAAAACCTGTAATACTATTTAATTGAGGAGGTTCAACACCCAAAAAACTGAGTTTGAACAGAGGATAATAGCAGCTGTTGTTCTCCAGCAGTGTTACTGTAAAAGGCGGGGTACCCATGGCCAAACAACTGGCTCCAATCAGGATTTTAAGACATTTAAATGGAAATACCTTGCATATAAAATGCAAAAGAGGAAAATGTTTAGCAGACTCACCCTTCCTGGGGTAACCTGTTCTACTCTGGTGGATAAAGTAAAAATGAATTGGAGTAAATAGTGGCACCAAAAAGCTTCTACAGTGCTTTTAAATAAACAAAGATAAATTCTTATATTCATGAACTTATTCCTTCCACCTTAATGCCGATTGCTGTAGTTTCAGCCTTTATTATACATTTGTCATAAACAATTCTCTAAGGATTATTGTCTCATTTTCCCCCCAGGTATCTGGGAACCAATGTCACGGTTTATCCTGCGGTAGGAAATCATGAGAGCACACCTGTCAACAGCTTCCCACCACCTTTCATTCATGGCAACAGATCCTCCTCCTGGCTCTATGATAAAATGGCTGAGGAATGGGCAGTCTGGTTGCCAGAGCAGGCTTTGAAGACTTTAAGGTATGCCAGATTTATGTTTTGGTTCTTGCAACTTACAATTATTTTGCTAATCGATGAATCTGTCAATAATTTTTTTAATTAATAATCGGATAGCCAACGGTTCCTTAAAGAAGACTTTTTACGGAAATAAACCAGGTGAAACTAAAAATGTTGCACTTGAGGAGTTCTGGATAGACAAAAAGTTGCCCTGTCAGGTAAAGGCATGTTTTAGAGTCTCTATACTCCAGTTAACGATTAATCGATTACTAAATTAGTTAATTAGTTAATTAGATTAATCCCATTAATTTCTTCAGCCCTAGTTCCGTTTTTCATGTTTAGAATCTGTATGATGGTTTACAGGTCAGCCTTTCCTATAATTTAAGATTGCGTGTTAAAGCTGCAGTCTGTTACATTGAGAAGAGAGCAGACTTCGACTGAAAATTTTAAGAAAAGCAGGTTTCACGCCACTCCCCCAACCTCTCTGCTTCACTCATGCCCCACCTCCAAGCTCCACCCCTCTCACAGCATCTGCGCGGCTACCGCATGCGACCAGAAGCGTCCAAGCAGAGTACGCGGCAGCTCTTCCATTGACATCTTCTTTTTTGAAGTCTTTGCCGTGTAAGCAGTTGTCGGCAGGGGCAGTAAGGGCAGTTTCTCTTTCGCTGGTGGCTGTCGCTCCGCCATGACTTCCACGCGCGTCCTCCTGACTGCAGCAGCCGGGCGGCAGCGGCAGGTTCAGCGGTGAGAGGGAGGGGGCGGGATTCAGCGTGTGTGAGCTGTGATTGACACTCCATCAGACGCTCCTCTGGCTGTGATTGGTTGTTTTGTCTCGTCTCAAAATATTCTTTCCAGATTGCAATACAGGCAGTAGGCGGTACCAATTGAAGCAGTTTTTTTCACAGGTTACATATCACTTGTACTGCTGTCTGGGCATAGGGACAGTTTTAGCCAATATGACAAAAAAGTGATTTTTAAAAACTTAGACTTCAGCTTTAAGAGGAAACAACCAAGTGTTAGGTTTACAAAAAAAATGAACACCACTTGCTGCTGCAGGTCTTGCACATCTGACCACAAAAATAGCAGAAGTGGTGACAGTTCTCGGCAGACTGCTCCTTATACGGCATCTCCTCTGTTGCTTCCAGGTATGGAGGGTTCTACTCAGTGGAGATCCAGCCTGGGCTGAGGTTGGTCTCCCTCAACATGAACTTTTGCGCACGAGAAAACTTCTGGCTGATGGTGAACTCGAGTGATCCTGCTAATCAGCTGCAGTGGCTAGTTCAAGTTCTTCAGGACAGCGAGAACAGGGGCGAGAAGGTTGGTTTCGTCGTTTGGTTTTAAAATATGACGCATGGGTTCATTGTGGTTGAAGCTCAAGTCCCACCACACTCTGATGCTTTATTTCTGTGACGTAGATGCAACTTAAACTGCACCTAAATGCAGTTACTGAAGAAATGTGTGTTTTAATTACAAAAACCTATTATGCTGTGTTTAGGTACACATCATTGGCCATATCCCACCTGGCCTGTGTCTTGGGAGCTGGAGCTGGAACTACTATCACATTGTCAACAGGTAACTACTCTTTCATTTGCAATCAGTAAAGGTGGAGTTGACTTTTATATTGCACAGAGAGGATGTTAATGTTCTCAGTTCCTCTTTTCATTTTAAGTCCAGTTAGATAATAGTAAATATTAAAGATAACAAGGAGGTTTTAAAATGCATGGCTGATTTTTATTATGAGCATCTGTTACCACTTCCTGAGTGTTTCTGCATTGAATTAATGACTTTAAACACTTTCAGGTCTTGGGGTTTCGAAGTTTTCCTTTTGCAACATTTTTTTTTTTTTCAGATACGAAAGTACAATTACAGGGCAGTTCTTTGGGCATACCCATCTGGATGAGTTCCAAATGTTTTATGATGAAGAAACCATGAGCCGGCCCTTAGGAGTGGCTTTCATTGCCCCCAGTGTCACCACTTTTGTTAACCTTAATCCAGGTGAGTCAATAGTTGTGGATGTTTGGAGATTATCCCTTACCCTTTTAAGTTTTTAATAAGCTACGCATTTTCTTCAGGGTACCGCGTCTACTATGTTGATGGAAATTACAAAAACAGCTCTCGACTTGTGCTTGACCACGAGACCTACATCCTCAACCTCACCGAGGCCAATCACAATCCCAAGTCACCAGGCGATCCAGAGCAGGACCCCAAATGGAGCCTCCTGTACCGAGCCACTGAAGCTTACGGTCTTTCCAGTCTGTTCCCGTCGGATTATGAAGCACTGCTCCGAGTCTTTATCAATGATGACCGCACCTTCCAGAGGTTCTGGTACCTCAGACATAAAGGACATGTGTCGGAGTCCTGCAGGGAGGCGTGCAAAACTACAATGATCTGTTTTCTGCGAAGCGGGCGCTCTGATGAGTTGGACCAGTGTGACCAACGCAATGGCTTTGGAGGGAAATTGGCTCGGGCTGCAAGAAAAACTCTCTGCTGACCTGATAAAGGTTAAACTGAAAGACTAAAGGGAGTGAAAAGCAATATGAGCCAAAAATGTCTGTATTTAAAGATGATCAATAGCATTTGCGCACATTTGAAATCGAGCCGTTTTTGTTTTGAAAAATAAAACGCATAAACTATTTGCATCACCTTGAGCTGATTTAAAAAAAAAAAAAAAAAGATTTGTCCAACCTTGTGTTTAGGAGCAGGTTTTGAATTTAAGCTACTCTTGCCATGCATATTAAAAGTTTCTGTTTACTTGAAATGCACAGAACGGTAGACATTACTGTACTAGGATTTTTTTTTTTTTTTAGCTGTTCTACCGAACTGGTTGCCTTTTCTCAGGGAATAGGTAAACAACTCAACCCTTAGCTGCTTTATAGTTGCTCGAGTTCTAATTTCCTCAAATGTTCCTTTTTGTTATAGACACAGCTGATAAAGCCTGGAAACATGATATTGCAACAGTATTTAACATTTAAGGATTGTAAAAACAAGGATTTTTAGTCTGGCAAATTAACTCATTGTGTTATCTGTTAACCACACCATCATTTACCAACATTTCATCAACATTGTTTTCTTGGGTTTTACTTTGTTTGCACTTTATTTGCAAAGGCTATTCTAATAAACTGATGTAAACATCATGCTTAAAACCAGCTTCATGTGAAAAATTTGCAAAACATGCCTTAATTTATTTGCATGGAAGAACAATAAATAGTTTTGATCCATTGCTTGTTTTGTTTTAAGTCAGTATCTATGTTTACTTAAAAAAAAAAAATCACAAAAAAATTTAGTTATAAAGGGTTAATTTTAGGTGAATATCTAATACTCAAAGGTTTTTATTCATGGTACATTAAACAAATTGACTTTTATACTGGAATTCTGACTTGCTGCAAAGCTGTGTTCAGGAGAAGTTCTACATTTTGATGATAAAAGCTCAGGCCTAACTAACTTAATTTTGTTCCACAAAGATATATGAAATGCGAAAGCTCAGAAATAAATCTGGACTTAGAAGTTAATCAATTTACTGTAGAGTAAAAGGTGCATGCTTGGTCAGAGCTGCTGTTTGATTTAAATAATTAAATGTATTGATCTCACATTGGAGAAATTTGCCTCTGCATTTAACCCATCCCCTTGGGGAGCAGTGGGGAGCCATTATGCGACGCCCGCTGAGCAGCGTGGGGTTAAGGGTGTTTCTCAGGAACCCAGAGCAGAGGCTGTGGGGATCGAACCGGATACTTGCAACCTTCTCAGAGTATGAGCACACTGCTCTAGCCACTAGTCTGGAAGGAGTGGCGGCCTAGTGGTAAGGGCATAGAGCTTGGTATCCTGATTTTCTGAGTTGGAGCCCCACTCCCTCAGACTGCCACTCTGCTTCTAAAATTCAATGCAACTCAATCTTTCTGTGAAAATTGGTCTGAAAATACAATAAAAGTTCAAAATTCCTTTCATCCAGATTAAATAAAACATCCACAATTAGCTGAGGACCTGTATTAGTGAAGAAGAGGCGGCTCCTATAGCACCTTGTCAAAAAAAACATTCTGCCTCTAACCTGATCGTCCAGCAGTACGTTTGCTTAAATCATTCCAAATAGTGAACTTCAGCACTGAATGTTTTTGATTTGCTCCTTTTAAAGTCAATAATGTGTTTGCTGAACTGAAGTTCTCTTCCCCACACTATCAAAAATAGTAATTTTTTCTCGAAGTCTATTTGCCCTTAATTTGAGCAGACAGACCATTTGCACAGTGGAATACAATGATTCATTTACCTTAAAATAACACTAAATTTGCAACGTCTTGTGGGCCAGAATAGTTCTTCCACTTGCGGACATTTTTATTTTTAGATCAGTTTTTGCAGTCCAGGCCACATTTTAATTTATAAAAAAAATCTCACATTTGCCTTATGGAAAATTCTATTTTCATTTTCTTGAATCCCCCATTACTGAAAAGCAACCGTAGATAGCAGTCAGAATGCAGAAATGAGTTTGATTTACCACTGGTTTAATCATAAAGGTTCCAACACTTCAGATTTAAGAGTCAAAACACATCAAAGCAATACTGTAGTGATTTTAATCGGGTGGATCCAGTTCTTACCAATGTCTAAACAAAAGGTCTAGGGGTTTGGACAGTTTATTACAAACTATTTAGTATTTATGTTGCTGATTTCTTCACAGCCTTTTCCAAATTACACCTCTTTTTGGTTCGTCTTTTCTCTGTACTGTGGCTTTAATCAGATTCTGAGAAGAACATGGTGACACCAAAATCCTCTTTGTATAGGTTCCAGGTTTTAGACTTGTGTGGGTTGTCGAGCTCTTCTCTGGGCAGAAACAACCTAAATATAAAAGAAAATGTGATCAGAAGGTGCAGAGGTCATGTGGTTATAAAAATGTTCACATTGGAGCAAGACAAAAAAAAATTTACTTGTTTTCTGTTACAAAGGACGTATTGAACCAAAAGTAGAAAGGAACGTCTTCATATCCTTTCGGAAGACCCTGATGGATGCAGTAAATATCAGAACCGTATGGATAAACTTTATCTTTTAACATCCTTTAGTTGAGGGTGTAAAACTCACTGCACTCGATTCAAACATAACCTTGACATCCCCTTCAACCATAGGCCCATCCTGCAGGCTGATTACTGCAGCATTGCTGCCCACGTCAGGAAATACCTTCAAAATAAAAATCCATTAATAAAAAAAAAAATCAAATGGTAATATACGATCAGTTAATGCTGTGAAGCTAACCTTGCAGTTCTTCTGCTTGGCGCACACACACTCGAAGACCAATTCTTTCTTCACTATTATTTTCACACTCAGATCACTGCCATTCCCCCTCCCCACACCTGGGCATGAATGAGAGAACATGTTTACTAGATCCCTGCACTGCTGGAGCAGCTGATCTGAGTGGATCTGCAGTGGTACCTGCTATTGAGTGAATCCGGATGCTTTTTATCCTCAGGCTTTTAGGTGGAGGCATCTGGCGGTTGTACTTGTTCTTCATGATCTCATAGTATCCGACATAACGGCTCTTTGGTTCAAAGCAAATATATAATCATTCAGGGGGTTTTAATGACTATAAACATCACACACTAAACCAGGGTGAGTGTAAACCATCAGTTTCTGTATCCCACTCATTATTTTAAAATTACACAAGCCTGGGGTTAGAAATCCTTTTCTGAAGCAGTATTTTGTAACACATCAATGAACTGTGGTGGAAACTATCTGAAAAAAAAAAAGTGATTTCATTCGAATGTGTTTCTAGTGAGCAAAAGTCATTGCTCCTTCAGTGACAGACTGCTGCACCCTAAATGCACCAGGGAGCATTATGACAGATCCTTCCTCCCAGCAGCTGGAAGATTTTATAACCATCAATGTTCCCAACAACCTCAATCAGTTGCTATATTCATGCTGATTTTTGCAGTTTCTCTTAGTCACTTAAATAACTTACCGGTACTGTCATTTTTGCTCATCTCTGTTGTTGCTTCTAATTTTCACATATCCACTACTGTAAAAATGTTCAAAGCTGTATATTGACCATCTATTCTTCAGATGCACAGCATTTATAGCATTTTATTTATATAAAACATTGTATAGTACAATATTTTATTTGTTTATTTTTATTTATTTTTTTTACCCGTTTCACTTATTCTGTTATTTCTATAGACTTTTTAAAGGTCCACATTTGTGTGATCACTATTGTAGTATTCTTTTGCTGCTCTATCGCCACAATTTCCCCACTGTAGGACAATAAAGTGATTTTCTATGCTATTCTATTTCTCCACATCGTCCCCAGTTTATATGTTCTAATAATGCATTTATGAATACAGAGACACTATAACACTTTATTACTAGTGTTAATAAATCTAAAGGAGTAATTTTTAGTTGAAAGATTTTAATATGTTGCAGGCACCAAATTAGACAAAACAATAACACTAGATCTACCAAATGTATGCTTTGTATATTCATCCATGTTTTGTTGAAAAAGGTTTTTTCTAGAAAGGAGGCTTTAGGAAATTCCTGTGTGATTCCTTACAGCTCCCAAGCAGAAATGCTATTTAGAAGTAAAACTAAATGACCAGGTTTCAGTAAAACCAAGTTCATTTTAAATGACGTATCCAATTTTACATTTCTTCTTAAAATGCCCAAGCTCCTTTCTTACCTGTGAGGGAGTCTCAACTCCCTGAAACTTGGAGCTCTGACTCTTGTCTGTCCTCCTCTCACCAAAATACTCCAGACTGTCCTGGTGCAGAAACAAACAGACAGACAGAAGTAGCTTTGTTTTAAAAGAACCAGCTCAGTCTTTAACCCTGCTCTCAACAAACCAGAAACCAACCTGAGCACTTTCAAACTGGTCACTGTCAATGAGCCATGTGCACACCATAGTACCTGTGCGTCCTGTGATAGACAGCAGAAAGAGAATTAGTAGGTATGAAGACACCCAGACAGGTAATTAAAATAAGATGGATCTATTATTGTCACCTTTCCCTCCTTTGCAGTGAATAGCAATGATATTTGTAGGATCAGCAGACATCCACTCCCTCACACTTGCTGTGTATTTCAGCATGTCTCTGACAAAATCCACATTAGAGAGAGCATAATAAATTAGCTATATGGTACAACATATATAAAGGATACTTAAAAGACGAGATCAATAAATAACAAGAGTGTCTTACTCTAAGGAGGGCACATTGTGGTCATCAATAAAGACTCGTTCAACCCTGTAGTGGAAGAACTTGGGGTCGTACCCCTTTTCACCTGGAATAAAAAATAAAAAATAAAAAAATAAAAAAAACATGAGTAGTGTCGGGGGGGGGGGGGGGATCAACATCAAGCAGAAATTTAGCAGGAGACACAGTTCAACTCACTGCACAGGTTGTAAACTTTGTAGTGGCCCCCATGTTTCGTGTCTAGAAACCTGGCAACTTCCTGAAGAATAAGTTTTTATGTTAACCATGAAGAGTTTATACCCACTGACTGTATTTCAGACGTTTTGTTTAGGACTATCCAACGATAACTGTCTAAATCCACTCTTACTTACCCTGATTGGATTTCTGTAGAAGGCCTGTTTCCCAGAGGAGGGGAAGGACATTGCAATGACACGGTCTAAAAGGGAGTAAAGGGAGTATTCCAGGCTCAGATATCTCTACAGTCATGAACAAAGTTAGCACATCCTATGATGATTCAAACATATTTAGGCACACTGATATTTGATAATAATTTAAAAGATAATAAAAATACTTTACTATAAGCTCAAGTTCTTAAATGAGTAATGAAAAAAACAAATGTCATTATGGAATCTGCAGAATGCTCGATATGAATTTGTATATCAATGCTATGAAAAAAGGCTACACAGGTTTAATTTCATTGGGGAGGAAATATATTCCCTTTTAGACAAAAGAACAAAAGATTCAAGACCCGACTGTACTGTACAAAGGCTGCACAGGTATATGTGAAAGTGTCCTGTTTTTTTATTTTATTTTAAAATCAATTAAACCATAAATGCTGAAGAGAGCATGCCCTCCACAAAGCGTGATTCTGGTCCTCCTCCTGTATTGACATCAGTCCTATAGTGCTAACATTAGCCTGCGTTGCTATCACCTCACCATCTCAATTCTACCAAAAGAGGCAAAGCCATCAATAAGGGACTCATCTGCAGCCAGCTGGCATGAGTTACTGTTTTTTTTTACTTTTATACTTGTGTATACCCTCATAAAAAAAAGGTATTAAAGGCATCCTGACACTGATGCAATTAAGCTGCTTCCCCTCCAATTATTTGAAAGAAAACAAAAGTCAACTAGAAAAAGCTGTTTCGGAGAAACATCAAAGTGGGAATGCTTTTGCTGAATGAAAAAAGCTGAAATTACCTGCATAACATATGAAAATGTGATAGGAAGTCATCAGAAACTTCAAACTGCAGAAAACAATTGAATCATCTGAAGATTTTGTAGGGTAGAATCATTTGGCAGTAAAATGGCAGAAACAAACTCATCTTAAAAGCTGCACAGCCAAACCATACATGATATCAAAAAACGTCTTGAATATGGGCACTAGAAGGGTCTTAATATAATGTCTCCCAAGTTTCTAGAAAAATGTATAAAGAAATTTTGAAGGGGGGTTTACCTACTTTCCAGAAACATGTCAGGCGTGTTATGAATTAGCAGCAAACAGAAAAGCTTAATTCCTGTCCAGAAACAGAGCAGAATGAAGCCAAAGTTCACAATATAGGCTGAAAAGTATGAAATTAGCTGAAGTAGAAAAGAAATTACAAAGAAAAACTTTAATCTTATCTGGTTGAAGAAAAAATTAGTAGCTTAAGGATGGGAAGTAAAATGTTGAGGACGATGGTATTGAATAAGTATTAACATTTTAAAATCATATGTGGAAATGTCAAGACTTGGCAAAACAATTGGAAAATTATTTAAAATGTGTCGGTTGATCAGCATAAAGAAAACAGTGTCATCCTAG